AGACGATGTATTCACCAAACTAATTGTGTATTTTCGATGTTATTGGTTTTGTTTGGTGGGGGCGCGGGTGGGAATCCTTGTTCTCTTCAGATTCAATCCACCTGCACAGATAATGGCTTCAAACAACCAGTGAGCAAGTCCGACTGATGAGGAACTGTTCCTGTGCCAGAGAACAGTTGACCCAAACCCAAAGAGATGTCAGGCTCTGATGTTGTAAGGAAAGACAATCCGACAATCTGTTTGTAGAGTAGAAGAAGTTCTGCTGGAGGAGATGACTGGCTGACTTTCTAATACTCTGAACGTGGCAGAAATCAAACATGCGTTGTCTGTCTGGATACTTTTGTGTTTTTATAAGCATGCAGCGGACATTTTCACGTTTAATCCCATTCAACAATATCTAATCAAACAGTCGATACTTAAATTATTTGAAGGGAAGGTACAAAACACTGGATGATCTTTTCATTGTACATGAACTCACTGCCATTGTAACAAATTGATAAATGAATAAATAAACTGTCTTCAATTAAATTAAACATGTGCAGGAAAAGCAGGAAAGGGGTAATCTGGGGTAAATAAACAGAATCATCCATAATTTACAAAACAGTTTTTATGTAAAAATGCATACATATGCAAAAATGCCATATTTATGATATAGTTGTATAATTACATGTTCACTTTAAAAAGGTAAAAAGTTTAACTATCATTAGACTAAACTTTTTTTTACCACTGCTATTTTTGGCCATGAATGTAGAAAAACTCTCCAGATTTGTTCTTTTTATATCAATACATTATTTGCACCCCTTTATGACACTAAAGATCAAGCCAGAAATATGGTTTAGCTGAATATAAAACTGAGACACAACGCTCAAGTTTTATTTGTTGGTGTAAAATCTGGAATCACAAACAAAACTGGAAGAGTAGAGTAAAAAAGTATACCATCGGCTCTGGGAATTTAGAGCAAAAGCATGTTATGAAAAAAAAGAAATCTTCTCATTTAAAATTCTCATTCCCTTCTTGCCGTTTTCTACAGCCCCTACAACTTATTAAAGAATAAACAACACCTCGCCTATTTTACATTCCCAGACTCCTATCGTGGGCAATTTGCTCCAAAATTGAGGGTTTGCATCATGAATTCCAGTTTGATTGTTGGAGAAAAGGCCAGTGAATGTTTTTGTGTGTACATGTAATTTATTCTTCTGGGCCCTTGGCTCCTTGGCGCAGTGAAATGGACATAATTTCAAAGCTGTCATTAATGGCTGGAAATGAAAGATATTTAGTTTAATTAGCTCGACCAGGGATTTTCCTGCATGCTATGAAAAGTATGAAAAATATCTGCTGTGAAAACAGCTGCAAATCTGATGCATTTGCATTTGCAAGTTAAAGGCTTTTTGAACACATTCTATGCCGAGACAGACATTAAAAAGCGAAACAGGCTATGCCTAATTGATTCTGGGATATCTCCACCTGTCTGGCAGCAGTAAATCTGCAGTTCTCACACGGAAAAACTAAAAGGAAAGGTGATGGCAAGGATGCTGCAGTGAACACTCGTTCACATCTCACTGTGTAATGTGTGTCCCCTCAGAAACACCTCATTTCATCTTTCAGGAGCAAAGTTAAAAAATACAGCAACATCAGTTTGTGTGTGCCATTTTTTATTTTAATTTGTGCACACATATACTAAAAATACAAAAAACTCCATTATGTCCATTATGTCCATTATGTCAAGGCTTTGTCAATTATTTCTGGGGTGTATTGTTTGTATTGGAGCAAAAACAGATATCACTTCATCTCAGATTGGGATCTCTTGTTTTGGGTTAGGGTTAGGGATCTGACCTCTGACTAACTTGTTTTTTTTCCTAAAAAAAACTTTGTGATTGTTACATGAAAAGCTGCGCAGCTCACGTGTGTGTGGATGTTTCGCAGATGTTTTTCGGGAAAGGCATTTTGTAAATCCATCTTTCTGGACACAGTTGTTCAAAATTTGAACTCGGTAGCTTCGCTTTCTTTGCTGCGCTGCATATAAGAGCCCAGCCCGCACATGATGGGGGGGGGGGGGGTGGGGCCCCCCCCCCCCCCCCCCCCCCACCCCCTTTCACTGATGACTTTCTGCTGACCTGCATGGCTGAGAGTACCTGTGGGAGGTGAGACTGTGTATGATGTTGAGGCTGAAAAGCAGAAAGTGACAGAAAAGAAAAAGACTGGGCTTCCCACAGGGCTTTACCATGGCTATTAGTTGGCAGAGATTGAGAGCCGACAGAGGGATGGCCGGGTGCTGTGGATGCAAGAAAGGAAGAAGGAAAGGGAGGGTGAATGAAAAGACGATAAGGCTAAGAGGTCTGCAAAGGGGCCAGCGGTGAGGTAATGCTGCGTGTGCGCTTTGGAGTAGTGGGTGCTTCATCATAACCGGCCTGATCCTCCAACACTTCGGCTCCTGCCTTTCGTCAGAACGTGTAGCCGTGCTGATTTTTAGAGCATCTCTAATAGAACTTTCTACAGTTTTACTCTCCTTTTCGCCTCAGTGACAACATCCTACAAACATTTAGTAAATTACCAACAGAAAATCTTCCACAATCCATCAGAAAAGAACACAAATGCGCATTCAAATTAAAAAAGCTGATATTCTAAAAGGTGCTCGAAAGCAGCGGAATCATTTGGGTATAATGATGGAAATTATCTTTAAGGACCTGTTTATATTCACACAGAGGAACAGATTATTAAATGATAAAACCTGCTTTAGAGTTGGCTCATCAAAATGATGCAATTGAATGTTTAATAAAAGTTAGTTAATGCAGGAGGACCCAAAAAGAACAGATCTTCATGAGTTTTTTTATCCATCCACTATGCTCGCTTATTCTGATTCTGGTCGGGTACGCCTGTGCAGGTTGCCAGTCCATCACAGGGTCACACAGAGACATACAAGACAGACAATCTTCAACACACACTCTCAAGGTAAATTTTAAGTCACATATGAACCTTTTTGGAAAACGGGAGGAAACCAGTGCATTCAAAGAGAACTGGGAACTAGGAACTGGGAACAGTAAACCACCAAACCACCATGCAGCCTTCTGAGAAATGCTTGTGCTTTATTTTCTCTTTGGGTTTCTTGGTTTGGTATTTTTATTCCTGCTTCCTGTTGTATTGTTTCACATCCCCCCATGTGTATTTTTTGGTATTTACTATATGTTCAAATCGAGTCTTCTATCTGGTCTTCACTTGTTATACCTTTCCTGCATTGTTGAAATGAGTCTAAACTTAAGCCTATGCTGTGGTCCATTGTTCGTTCCTTTTCAAATACGTAATCTACTTCTCCCACCTTTGGGTCTGTACAGATCTAGCTGTAGATCCAAGAGTAGAGATGCAAGTCACGAGTAACAAACATTACATCAGGTAAAGTTTCTAAGCCAAAGTTTAATGACTCCAGCTGGACCATCTGTGGTGTACCAGCTCCCTGCCAGTATTAATGAGCTGACTGGGACCCTCTGCCGCCCAGCACATCTCATTAGCATTGTGACATCCTTCTCTACATTTTTTTCAACATCTTTCTGTTTTTTTGCCTTTACTCCAAATTGTCACTCTTATCTTAAGTCTCACCAAAGCCCACTGGTCTTATTACTGTCTTTCTCTGTCACAAGCTGCACCTGCTAATCTGACAAGGTTCTTTCACTACCGTTTTCTTTTCTTCACATGTCACTCAGTAATGATCCCTTTTCCGTGTCCTTTTCCTTCCTTGGTAGTCACCTTTTCCCTCCATCTATATTTGATGCTGTAGAGGAACTCAAAGCGCCTCAACTTTGGGCTTATTCCTGACTCCGTGTTTCTGCCATACAATTTTCTCTCCACTAAAATGTTGAACTGTAACCCCTCATCCACTCCTCAGCCCCTGGCCAACATTAACGCTGCTGCCAGCCTCCTGCCCCGTCCATTTCATATCTTCCTCTCCTGCTTCCTATCCATTTCTTCTCTCTCAGCACTCTGCCTCCTCTCCTCCCACTCATTCCCCCGCTGGCAGTATGCTCCCTCAACAAAGGCGTGACTACACATCCGTGTAGCCCTTTAGGAACACCTCAGCCGCAATGCATAAGGTGGATTTATTTGCATGGCAGGCACTGGTGTGTTTCACAGAAGGAAAGGTGGGTGGATGAGGGAGAAACGGTAGTGTGGAAATGGGGGGGGGGTGTTGGTCTGAATTATTCATAGCTGATATATAGGATGAAAAACTACAGCAAAAGGGAGGAAGTTTCAGAAAAGAGTCAACCTTGTGCTATCTCTCCAGAGTGTAATATCTCTGTGAGTCATCATTTGAAGATGTCCGGCATATTTTCAGGTCCCCTGCGGCTGTGCTGCATGATATCTGTACTGGCTTTATATCTCTGAATAGGCTCTGAATTCTAATATACATTTGAAAGCAGAACAAGAACAATCAATACAACTTTTACCTGCAAGTCGCAGTGGATGTGGAAAAGTAGATGAAAAAGAATGTGTAGTTTGTGGATTGATTTTTAAAACTAATCATATAATTATTATAATAAACAGCATTGATAGAAGTGAATGCTTTTGATGCTTGCTCTTGTTTTAAAGATTGGGGTCAAGGAATAAAAGAACAAGCATAGTGGAAGGTAAACAGGCCCTGTTGTGGGTATGGCTTCATATTTCCATTTTAAAGTTAAGGGGGCACCAGTTAAAGGAGAAGACTGACGCCTGATACCAAGAGCTTCACAGACTCAGAACAATATGGACACTGACAGGTCGATTTTCAGAGGAGATAGTCGATACGTGCCCACAAAATCATCAAACCACACTGGATCGTGCTATATAAAGGATGGATGTACTGTAGACTGATTAAAGTTTCTCAACATGTCAAACCTCCACTGTTTTTGCTTGTGTGAGAAAGCGGATGAGCTGTAGTCAGCCAGGACTGAGTTTGTCCTATTTTATATTTGACTCTTCGTTGTATGTTACTGCTCCTTGACACGTTGGTGTGTTTTTCTTTCTTTTGGCAGAAGTCCTTCTCTCTGGTGTTGGAGGCTCTGGACTATGACAATGATACATCAGAATCAGGTAAGACTGAAGTTATATAAATAACATACATAATACAAAATCACAGTCCAAAATCAATCCTTTTGTAACCCTCTTAAAGAATGTAAAAATTAGGTAATGTTAGATAAAAATGAGTATAGTGTTATTATTCCTCTGAGGGTAAATGCTAGCACACATGTATGTTTTCAAGATTTCCTTCATTTTCTGCTTCGATGTTTAATGACTCACTTAGTTGAAGCATATTGACATAGAAGATTATCAAATCATGATCTATTGTTGTCATATCAAAAATTGGGGGCCAGCCTGACTGACCAAGCTGTGTTTCATAATAGGATTTTGAAATAACTGTCTGCATTTATGGGAGTAAAAGTTTGAAAGAAGGATTTTAACTTGTGGAAATGTGTTCTCAAGGTGGGGGGGACTTCACTTTCTGATGTGAATACTTCCTCCACCGTGATTGTTATTGTATTTTCTCTTCCGCCATGCCAAGAAAAGTCTTCATTCCAAGTTTTAAACAAGCATCTTATTCATATAGGAAAAAAAGCCCAGGTGCATGCTTACCAGACTGTGTGGCTTGACATAATGAAACAATGTCAGCATGTCCTCTGTGTCTTAATGTCTGTGATCACACAAGTTTAGCGTGCCTTTTATCAAGGCCCTTTAATTTCCTGCTCATCTCCTTGTTCTCTCTTCTCATAATCAGGAAAAGCTCCTTGTCAGTGAGCTGCATGCTATAAAAAGCAGAAAACAAAGACATCCAGACAGATATTCCGATGCTTTCCTCATTCCTGTCATGCCACAATCCTCCCTTTCATCCCCCCCATCCTGTTCCTCCCTCAGTGGAGGGACCGCAGTCAAATCCAAGTGATGGCTGAGATAATGAGAGACTGGGAACTCCACCACAGACCCTTTTCTTTCTCTGTATTCCTTGTGTCTGTTCTCCCGTGTTTTCTCCTTCCTTCTGCCCTCTAGCAACGCTCCTACATCTTGTTTGCATTATCTTCCATTTCCACCTGAGCTCTCCACAATGCCTTACATTGGGGCTAAAGCCGTTCACTAGGCCGACAGCTTAGCTGGGTCCAAATACAGGCATCCAGATGCAGTCTGAATGGACTTATCAGGCCCAGCTGCCAATCAGAAAGGATTACTGAGCATGACTAAATCTTCTGCAACTGTCTTTTGAAACTGTGAGAAAATATGATCTTTGAGCGCTGACAGTCTGACCTTCAAAGAGTTTCTTCTAACAAAATGACACGTTATTGTCAATGTGCATGGATGTTACCAAGTTGTTGGTAGTTTGTGTTGTGTTTAGGACTTTTTTGTTAGGCTTGTTACTTCCTCTTATTTCATTCTCAAAATGTTGAGTTGATGGGATTTTTACTACAAATAGAGAAAGAAATAAGTCAGGCAGATTAATTTACAGCTTTGTAGGCAGCAATAAAGTAATATTTGAGTCAAGATATTAGAAAAAAATATTCTTGGATGATGGAGCATTTCTAAGTTGATTATTTGAATAGCGTGAACACTGTGATGCATAAGACAACCCAAGCTGACTGTACCAGAAACTGTAGCTTACACATAACCACAAAGCTGCAGTAGAGTGTATAAAAGAAGTAGAAACCTTGCATCCCATGCTCCCAAATGTAATGTTTTTGAGTGGAAAAATGTCATTCTTGATTGTGTGACCGCTTACATTTCTTCTTCATTTGGTTTAATGAGCCAAACCAGCCCACAGAAACAATTTCAGTTTTTGTTCTCATGGACATGAAGGTGACAGGCAAATGGAATAGATAAGGAACTAACTGGATCAGCTGCATTTTCATGGTGTATGCATACTAGTTTCTGCTGCGTTTTCTCAAATTTAATTAGTATTTATTTTCCTCTCAAAACCAGAAAATTTGGATTTCACCATTAAACTTTCTAATCTGGACCAGCTTTTTCCATCAAATCGAATCCACATGTTGAAACTTATTGTTTCAGCGATGTGAAAACAGTTTTGTGCGTGTGTGTGTTTGTGACATACCCAAGCTGCACAAAAACTGAAAATAAAAGAACCATACATCGAATAAAAACAGACACAAACGCTGTCCTTCTGATCTATTGGCTTCTGTTGGTCTATTGATTTGTCGGTAGGTGATATGGAATAGTGAGCGGAGGCAGGAGTTTTCTCTCCTGCCGTGTTTCCTCGGTCTCTGTCAAGGGCAGGGGCTCCACAGCTCAAAGCAGGCAGTGGGAGACAAATGGGAAGGGATTTGAGTGCTTTCACCACCTGCAAACACACACTTACATTTCTGTATGGTTTGATTTCCAACACAGCTCAGGTCGTTTTGTTTCTGCTGTTCTACCTAATATTTGACCTCCTTTTTCTCATTCGTAATATTTATTTGTGCTCCTGTCTTATTGTGCCTTCCTATCAAAGCACACAACAGAGGAAATCAGACTCTGCTGGATACCTTCCCCGCTGCACTAGAGCATAATTATGTTATTTTTTCTTCTCGTCTGGCACCGAAATGATGATGACGAAATGAAGCCCTCCACATGCCAGATTCATGTAATATAGGAATACCCACAATGCACTGCGGCCCCATGTGAAGTGTCTGAAAAAGCGAGCTCTCAAATTTGGCTGCCAGAGGTGGAGAAATCTCACATCAACTGAGCCAGCAGTTCACCCAGAGTCCACTCTGCCTCAGTGTGTATTAGACACACACGCACACACACGTTTGTTTCTGTGTTTAAAGTACACGCCGGCTAATGTGTGTCCCTGTTTTCATCCTTTTGTCCCGAGCAACTGTGATCTCATCTCTCTATGAGGCAGTTTGTTACGTTTGCGTTCTAATAGCCGCTTCCCTGCCACTTTAGCCGCATTTGCCTCCAGCGTCAGAGCGCGCACACACACATACACACACACACACACACAAACACACACACTCACTGCCCTCTTCTCCCTTTTTTTAATTACCTTATTTGAATGAAAATCATGAAATCTTGTTTTGTATCCCCAGCTACATCTCCTGAATAAACACTCATGGTACAGATAGAAGCATACTAACACACACACTCAGTGTCATATTCTCAGTACTCTGCATGTGCTAACACCCTGTCAGAGAGGATTAGAACTGAGTTAAGGGATGGCAGCGCCTCTGGGAAATCCCCTCCGGGGGTCAGAAGCACCAGCCACTGCCCTCAGGCGTATTTGGTCCTTTCTGCTGTTCTGGCCGCCTCTCCAATCTGTAAACCTATGACCTCTTTTTTTTCCTGGTCCCATAATCGACCTTTGTATCCAGTGTATTCATGCTGGAAATGTTTTTCAGTTCACCAACCATATCAAGGCTTTCTAAGTCCTCCAATGCTGATGGTTTGTCGATAAAGTGGGTAAAGAAATTGTAAATCAAAAGAAATTAAACATGATGTAACTCATCTCTGAACATGAAAGGGAAGTGTTCTTCTCGGAAATATGTTACTGAAATTTGAAGTTTCTTGCAGCTCTACATCTCATAATTTAATCTGTCAGCCCCCAAGTTGAATCTCTCAGTTCACTCAGAAGTCTCCATCCTCGACAGGCAGCTTCTTTGTCTGAAATTACTCTGGTAAACCTTCTGAAAACAGACAATAAAGTTAGTTAGAAAGCAATGAGGACAGTTGAGTATTTTACAGAGAAAATGCACTGTGCAGCCTGTAAAGTTTTACACAGTTTTATTCATGGTATTTAGCTGTGTTTAATTCTATTGCATAAAATAATCGGTATGGGTGAATGTTGCTGGTGGTGTTAAAGAGCTTTGAGTGGTTAAGTAGACTACAAAAGCACTACTTAAGAACAGTTCATTTGAGGATTTAATTTCCCCGTCTTGCTTCAGGTCAGTTGATTGAACGAGTCCTCCTCTCCTCCATGTTGAATCCTGGTGAACAGTGGCAGACATACCGTCACCACGGCCGCATTCTCAGCCTGGAGTACCGGCTGCGCTTCCGATGTGACTCCAACTATTACGGACCTTTGTGCAACAAGTTCTGCCGTGCCCGCGATGACTTCTTTGGGCACTTCAACTGTGATGCCGCCGGCTCAAAGGTCTGCATGGAAGGCTGGACGGGGCCAGAGTGCAAAGAGGGTAAGCCATTTGGATACAAATCTAAAATAATTAATGATAAATATGTTATAAAATAACTTATTTTACAGAGTTGCAACTCATGGAAACTATACTAATAATGAAAAAGAGGACGGCATATTCCATTTAATAAGAATCCATTTGAGAGCAAGCCTTAAAAGTGTATTCACAGTGATGAAAACAATTCAGTTGTACACAGATCAGCTCTAACTCACTTAAATGTCAGCAGGACAATAAATCTGACTAAAATATCAATTCAGAATACTGATATAGTGATATTATTAAGTAAAAACACATTTCCCAGTTGAGCTTACATCACAGGCACACTGCCTGAGCTTTGCTCAATGCAAAGTCATCTATGAGATCCTTTAAGTTCAGCTGGCAGGCCTTCACCCGCTATTCTTAATCTCAGGCTCATTCATTGCTTGCTTGTCAAGACCTGCTTTTGTTTTATCGTTCCATTGTTTGTTTCTGTATTGCTATCAACTGTGGGAACTTTTCTAGCTTTGTAATCTTACCGTCTGTAAATACAGGGACCCAGCATTCTACTATATTTAACTTTTTAATGTCAAATTATACTTTAACCATCATTGATTGGCTTCCCTGGACCACATGTCAGAACCTTCTTGGACACGACACTGAACCACCACATTGATGTTGGGTAATTATCCCAAATGTATTGATGGCTGCTTTTGTGGATATCACAAACTCTAAAAACATTACATTAGCTTCACTTCCAAAGGTTTTCCTTGTTGCAGGACCTCTTACGCCTGTAAACTAACTGTACTGTTGGGGCTCTAAAATATGAAACACTCAACACTGGAAATGTACAGCTGATGTTTTAAAAATCACACATAAAACTTCTTAACAGTTTCCAACATGAAGCTGGAAAGGTTTAACCAAGAATAGATTCAACTAACTTGTGTTCGCTTTGATGAACGGACTCATAATGTTGTTCCCTTCATCATTGATTGACTGTCCTTTTACGGACTTTTTCCAAAGCATCTTTAAAAAGATTTCCATGACAGTGTCTCTGTTTTCCTGTTTGATTTTGGCCTAGGATGTTCGGTGATTATGCTAAAGTCTGTCAGAGTAAACTTTCCTGTTTCCTTTTTCCTTCTTTTCCTCCAAATTGCTGGACAGGTCAAACAATTAGTCATAAAGTCCACATCCAAGTTAAAGCTCCGAATTTCTGACAACAAAGCGAGGATCTGCTTTCACAACACAGCCAGATGAACGCTATGCTGCTGAGGTCACTTGAGGAGCTTTACGTGCCAGTACATCAATAAACACGCGTCAGCTGGCTCCAGCCGAGAGCCTGTTGAACTTATTCAGTGACTCATAAGCTGGGTGCCCTCATTCTGTGACCTTGCACCACTGTTGAGATTTAAAAAGTGAATGGAGGAAACCAAAGTGGGAAACCATGGTTACCCTGAAGGACACATGGTCAGTTAGAGGACATCCTGCTGCCCTGCCCACGTTATCCCAGTCTCACTTGATTTGACTTCCTTCTCAGCATGGCGCTGATTGGAGTGAAGAGAAGCAGGAAGTTTGAAAAATTAGCCACGTTCCTTTTACCCCCTCGCAGGCTCTAACCATGATGAGATGGAGATGGAGATTTTTAGTCTTTTTACTTGTAATTTTATGCCCTTTCCATCAAATGGTAAACAAACCACTTAAAGGACAAAACAATATTGTGTTTTCAGATCTTATGTCACTTTTTTTTAACCAAATTGCCAACTTACAGGTGGCGAACCTGGAAGAATTTTCTGTACACTGCGTACGTGGCAGACAGTCTCATACATATACTCAATTCTTATTGTGAGTCCTTTCTGTTTCCACAGCGGTATGCAAGCAGGGATGCCACCAGGTCCACGGCTTCTGCACAGTGCCAGGAGAATGCCAGTAAGTTTCACAAAGACAGAAAAACGCTGACAATCTGACATTCATTTTCAACAGGAAATACAAAAAACACTTTAATCATAATATATGACGCTAGAAACAAACCATTTCTATTATAGAACCATGTTATTGTCAGAGTAGCTTGTTTGAGCATTATTTGGATAATCATCAAACATCCAGCTGTCACTATTTCAATTAAGGTCATTAACTGAAAGAATACATACTAATCAGTATACTAACAAAGAAAATGTGAAGCAATGATGCTGCCTGGTTGAATTCAGCTCATTATAGCCCTTTTCCTTTTTCTTTGTCTCTGTTTTTCATTACTCTACATATATTTGCTTCAATTATGCAAATTAATTAATAGAGAATGTTTTTGAGAAGAGATTTTCCTCCAGTCATCTGTTGATGACTCACTTCTAAAGATCCTGAAAAAAACAACATTTTGTTTCATGTTGTTATTCCATATTAGTCTGGATTACATACCCAGAGTGGAGTCTTTTTTAATTTAATTTTGTATTAATAGGCAGGTGCACTGTGTCTGCAGTGATGGCTTATTTAGTCTCTGTAGCTGTTGTACCTATTACTGAAAGCACTAACTCTCCTGACAAGGAGGGACTGATGTTAAGGGGTACACATCAGCTGTGAGATTAATTGCATCAATTTACTTTGTTTCAGTGGTAGAATACTAATATCCAGAGGAATTTACAATTTGGATGGTGATAATTGATGATAATCGCTTGCCAACGGAATGCAAATAAACCGAGTCGTAGAAGCGGTTTCAGCCCGCCTCTTTTCTTTTGCTAGGTGTCACTATGGCTGGAAGGGCCCTCTGTGTGACCAGTGTGAGACGTTCCCCGGCTGCGAGTACGGCAGCTGCACCGAGCCCTGGCAGTGTGTGTGCGACGTCAACTGGGGAGGACTGCTGTGTAACAAAGGTCTGATATGTAGCCTGCAAACTTTTTGTTGTTTGAAAGGAACAGACACAAGCGTCCCTTAAGCCAATGAGCGGTTTCAGATAGGTCCCTTTGTTTAGTACTTCAAGGTTGCTTTACGAAGCATCCTCACTTTTGGTCCCTCAGCTGGGACAATGCTGTTTCACACGATTAATTATCCAAGTTCTCATAATAGACACCAAACACAGCCCCTGTAACATGGACACAAATAAAAGACAAGAACAAAGTACCCACAGAGGGACCATTGCAGGGAGGTTCGATGGTTAGACAGTTCGATGGTCAGAAACCAACAGCTGCTTTTTCACTTCTCACTCTACGCTCAGTTAATTATGTGACAATAGTTCTAAAACACTTTTCTCACTTCATGCTTGGGTCTATGATACTACATTTTTCATTAGGGTTTAAAAAACCATCAAAATGCATACTTTTACCGTTCAACAATGACTGTTTTATACATATTTAATTCTATTAGTTAATTTCTCCTTGGAGATCAATAAAGTATTCAATCAATCAATCAATATTTATAGGTCATCCTAGCCAGCATGAAACATGTCATCCCCCTAAACTCATATATCGAGGGATGACAGTCTGGAAAGTTCACAAGAATTTCAATGTCCAAAAGGTGAAGTCCAAGTATGGTCAGATGCTATTTGAGAGCTTATTTGATTTTGTACAGCTTAGTCTAGACATCAAATTTGTATTTCTTTACATGTTCTGTCTGATTTAAATCAGGTGATGTTGGTCTTTATCTAGGGTACTGTGTCATGGTTTTACTACATCCTGACCATAGCTTCTGAAACCTGTATCGTTTGTGTTTAATCACTTGTGTATACTGCCTTTCTGTAAAGCTCACAGGTTTCTAAAACATATTTAAACAATGTCCTCTGCAGCTAAACTCCAACAAAGAGCTTTGCAGTGTATTTTGAGACATAAAGACACATTGTGTGTCAACTATTAGTTTGTCAGGCGTGGTTGTTCACACATCCCTCCGTGTGTGACTTATGGGTTCTCTCTATGAGATAATAAAAATGTGCCTCAGGGCTTCACCATAGTCTCTAACTTTTCCCACCACACTGTAGCAAAGTTAGTCCAATATTGTCTTCTGTCCCTGTGTGGGAGCTGGAATTCAACTGAGAGCCCAGGGGACAGTGTATTGTGCAGAGGAAAGGCGATAGCCATGGGTAAGGTGAATGTGAGTGGGGCTGAGCTTGGTGCTAGCAGCTAGGTGGGGTCTCGGGCTGGATCTCTGAGACAAAGAGACTGTGAGTATGCAGGAAATCATCAGAGAAAAGAAGAGCTTTAATCAGTCTCAAATGTTGAAACGGCAAGCTTTACAAGTACTGACCTGCACAGTTAGTCGGTCTCAATCATCCAGCATCTGTGACCAAAAACTGTGCTTTTTCCTGAAATGAGCTAAAACTGATCTTCAATCCAATTACTATATCTTCTTATTCTACCCTGTGCACAAAGATTTTCTCGAACGGAAAAAATATTATATTGAATATGCTTTTTGTTGTGCTTTCAGATCTCAATTATTGTGGGACCCATCAGCCCTGTAAGAATGGTGGAACCTGCACCAACACAGAGCCGAACGAGTATCAGTGCGAGTGCCAGGAGGGTTTTCGAGGTCGCAACTGTGACATTGGTGAATACAATTCTATGATCAACTAATGTTAATTTATTTTTAAGCTCCGTGAAAAGCCCTTGAATTGGAGAACAAGATACACAAGGAAATACAGCATTGAAATATTAAATATCTATGTGGGAAACTACAGTTAATTTTTTTAATACCTATCTGGGTATGCCCTTCCTCTAGATCCATCCACTGTCCTCATTGTTTTTTTTCTTGTTTGTCCCCTCCATCTCTGATATTCCATCAGTGGAGCATGCGTGTTTGTCATCCCCATGCATGAACAGAGCCACCTGTGTAGAAGACCCAACAGGCTTCAGCTGCATCTGTCCTGAAGGCTGGACGGGACACACCTGCGCAGAGGGTGATTATTGGTGCTGCACTTATGCAAAGTCTGGGCTGGTGGAACAGCTTTCAGATTATCTGTGATTGGTAATTGGATCAAAGCCACTCAGTGGCTCCAATCAATCCAGAAGAGGAAGTTAATTTAGGCTGAACACAAACAGTATCAACAGCAATCAGTGATCTGTCTCGCCCTTTGTCTGGGCCCATGTGTCTTTTTGGGAATTAGTTTAATTCAACACTGAAATCATGAACTAAGCGGATTTTTCCCAGCCTTCAGATATAGTGGATTAAGGTTCACACAAATTGGAGCTGATGGTCTTGTTCAAAGGCCTAATGTGTGCTGGAAAACAAGCAAAACACTGAGACAAAACAGGTGCTTGCAGTGCATTATCTACTTGCCTTCAAGGGGCAAAATCTTACTGTCTGCCCACACCAAATGCAAAAGCTTGTGAATGCTGTGGGCAAATTGCCCTTCCTTTTAGGGTCAGATCGTAATCTCACAAACAAGCAAATAAAGTACCGCCCCAGACTCGAGTCCCACAGATCAGAATTTGTGCAACAACATCCGTTTTCATGTCTGTGAGAAAAAAAAAAAAGGCCGGAGCTAATGCCAAGTGAATGTAATATTATCAGAGTTTGTTTGCTCTGTGAACAAACTGAGACGGCTGTTGGACATGCCAATACACAAGTAAACACTTGTATTTAGAAAAGGAATGACATGTTGTTGCTCTTGGCGTTTGTCTTCACCAGTCTGCGGTGCAGCGGAGTGATGTCCTTCCTAAAAATATGCAATACCAGACTGTCTGAGGAAGAAATAGCTGCACTGGTTGATCATACAGCTGCAGTCTGATCCATTGTGACATGCAATATCTTTCAAGCTGGAGAATCAATACACATTCTACTGATGTTAAAAGACAGTATTCAAATAAAGAAACCAGAAGACGTGTTAAGTTTAGCGGGTATTTGAGGGGAATCAAACATAAAAGTGTAACTTTATATATATTTATATGTATAGTCAGTCAGACATGGAGTCATAGTAAGTCATAATAACAATACATTTGCCACAGGAATCTCACTTTGGAGTCTTGATCATGTGAAATGTGTGTGAGTGTGTGTGTGAGACAGAGTGTGACTCCTGTACAGTAGGTTGGAGCTCATGTTGTGTGTCGCAGCAGGTGAGATTGGATCACACGGTTTATGGTCTGTCAAAGCTGTGAGTGTAAACACGCAGCGTTCCACATCCTCTGCTTTCACCTCTGTCAGGATAAACCGAGCTGCAGGTTGGGCTTTGGTGTGTAAACACTCGAGCGAGAGGCATTTTTCAGAGAGGGACAAACAGAGGAATAAAGCAACAGTTTATTTTCGCTCTTGTTGTTTGTTGCTTTCATGATTAACAGTCAGAGATGCGGTCTATCTCCGTATGACTTGTCGTGAGGGTGGGCTCTCTGGAGAATACACAGTGAGAGGATTGTCGGGCTTGCAGGGAATTACAACCAAAACCACAACACAGCTCCATTTTCAGAGCAGATTTATATGTATAGCCAATATTAATTAAAGACTTCTTTGTTTGTTGTGAATTCTCTGTCTCATTTTGGGAGAAGTGCCGCTAGCTTGGCATGATTATTATTGCTTAGGGTTGTCCTTAAGGTCATGGAGATGGAAAATGGTTATTCTGTAGGGTTAGGTAAATGAAAAAGGTTATGAGAGAGACACAGCGAGCTCTGTGTCACCACAGAGAAATGCATGGGAAAAGTTAAGATGCCACTACTGCACAAATATGCCTTCTATTATAAGAAGTTATGCATGGCTAAACCCTAAACAGTGAGCTTCCCTTTGTCTCTGTGCCATCATTTTTGTGCTTGGTTTCTTGTGTTTTTGTAATCTGCTTTACATTCATTGTCAGACAAGTGAAACCAGGCCCCATTTTCCCATTTGGTTTCAGCTCCTGTGTTTCATTGTTTTTCCCATCATCTCTTCCTTTAGATCAGCCCACTTGTTTTCCCTGCTCTCAGTGAGAGGGTAGAGGTGTCAGCCATGTATGTGTAGCAGATGATTGCATTTATCACTGTTTGCTCAGAAACCAGGGCAGTAGAAAGGAGAATAAGTAGACCAGCTAACAAACCCTCTGCATACCAATTTTAGCTCGCACACATTCTTATGGTGACATCATACAGCCTAACGACACCCATGCATTCAAGATGTCTGCTTAATATTCTTATACTTTCCCAGTCTTGTAAAATACATTATTTTTCTCCTCTCAGTGGTAAGGCAGTGTGATCGTGGCCCTTGCGGACGTGGAGCAACATGTGAGGAGGCTCCTGGAGGTTTCCGGTGTCTCTGTCCACCTGGATGGACGGGCAGGACGTGCCAACTGGGTAAGCGGGTCTAAAATCAATTATAAAACATGTTTGTTTTAAAAGAATATGTGCACGTAGAGCGTAATGTCTTTCAAAGCAAAACAGGTTTTTAAACAGAAACTTCTTTCTTAAAAGGTTAGAATCCTGCCTGCACTTTCCCAAAAAATATTTTTTAATGTTTATCTCACAAAATATGTAATTATTTTATTCAGCCTGCCACCAGAACTGTGCTATTTCATTTATATTAAGCAAGTGGGTTGAAATGTTTGAATGGAACTCTGTGCTTTACACAACAAATGCGATATAAGATAATCCAGTCTGAGCTGCTTTTGAAATCTTTTTTTTTCTAAGATGTGTAATTATATTTAATATGAAGTAAAATATGAATTAAAAGCACAAATTGATGAGGTGGAAGAAGCCAGCAGCATGTTAATAATCCCATCAACCCACTGTGACTCCTAATAAGGCTTCTTTAAATGCAAACTCACGTCGCTGTGGGCTACATTCGCTCATATTGACAACAATCCTCTTAGAGGGCTGTTGTGTTAAAGAAGAGAGATTATTGTGCAGAATCAGCTCAAACCCAAACACATTACGTTCACACACTGCAGCTTCAGGGCTATGAAGTGAAAACCGAGACATATTTCAGGATGACAGCCTCTCCTACACCTCTGTGTTCCAGCGATATGTCATTCTGACACTTGATAATCCCCCATAGTTCCACCTGACAGATCAGAAACTCGCAGTATATCACCTGTGCACACACATACCCATGTATACTGATGTAACGCAAGTTATAAAACTTTGTATAGCCCGGAGAACTTTAAATAGAAAGCAATTATGTTCTCACTTTACTCTTACAGACAATAAAAGGTTCAGGCTTCCTATAACTGTCGGAGTTCTTCCTCAGTGTCTCTTCTAAAATGCCTCTCTCTGTAGTCGCTGAATCCCCTTTGTGGCTCCTGTCTTTAACAATCTAACAGTGTGACAGAGGGTGAGAACACACAAATGTTCAATTTAAGAAGGAAGAGGACGCTTCAAGGCTTAACATTGTTTGTACTGTCTGCTTGTAAGAACAATATTGGATAAGGGTGTGCACTGTTTCATGGCTGGTATGCTTCCATCTAGCTCCTGCCAGCTCTCCAATTCGGTTCAAGCATTTGGCTTTAAACTGTGGATATTTTCAGTGTAACTAAGGGCTAATATCAGTGGGAGAATTAAAAGATTATTAGATTCTGTTTTATGGGTTGTGAGTCTCTTATCTGAGGATTATTGTGATGCTTAATCCTATTTTACTTGTTTAGCTTTGGAGTGTTTGTGAGCTCTGTTAGAAGATGTAATCATACACTGTTTGATCAATTTTCTGTCAAAAAGGACTTCATCCTCTATCATGTCATAGTACTCATGCAAGGTTTTAGATATTACCCCCAACTTAGAGCACCACTGACTCTTTAAGGCAGAATGTAGTCTAATTATAAAACTACATTTCTATTGTGTTTCTGTTTGAGAAATACATTTTTGGGAGACATTTAGAAATATCCTAAACTAATAAAAATCACATCACTATTTCTGGATTCAAATTGTAACTGGTTTAAATGGAAACCTTTGGTTTTCATCAAAACGGTGGTTTATTAAAGAGTCATTTTAAACAGGATTGTGTGTGTTTCCACACCAAAAAGGTGATAAGTACTTTATTAAACCAGTCAGTTTTGTACTAATGTAGTTTTTTTTTTACATGAATACATTTGTGGGGGGGGGGATAGGAAAACAAAAGATGTGTTGTTCATTATGCATGCATCTTTATTCTCTTCTCCCTTTTACTTTGCTCCTTTAGACACCAATGAATGTGAAATGAGTATATGTATCCACGCCCGCTCTTGTCGCAACTTGATCGGTGGATATCTGTGCGACTGCCTTCCTGGATGGACTGGGCCCAACTGTGACATCAGTGAGTATGAAAGGACAACAAAAAGGAACAAAAATAAGAAAAAAATTGAAAGAAGAAGAGAGAAGTGATTGTTCTGTGGCAGGTAGTGAAACACAAAGAGCCTTCAAACAGCAGTTCCCCAGCAGATCAGCTTCCTGGGGATAGAGATCATCATGCCCCAGTTCTGTCAAACGTCTTAAACAGAGATCACTAAAAAAAAAATTGAAATTTAAGGATAAACAATAAATAGCGAGTGGGGTCCTTTTTTCACACAAACCTGTTTTTACTTTAGATTTTCTCTCGTCCAAAGTGGTGAATCTGGTCCTTGGTGTCACAGGAAATATATTGAAATCTGACATCACCAGCAGTGTCAGTCGTTTTGACTGTTCTGCTCTCATCTACTTTATTGTTGTTTACTGGCTTGTTTTTGTGTGACAGATTAATTTGGTGTTTCTGGTTTCTCTGATTTCTAGGGAACAGCAGCTGTCAGGGTTTGTGTTTGAATGGCGCGCATTGTGAGGTGAGAGTCATGTTTATACCGCCTTTCTCTGTCTTTTGTCTATGGATATTATTATCTGTATGTCAAATCCATGACAGGCCTCTCCTGTTCCTATACTCTGCCTTAATCCATAACCTCGTAAGACACTGAATTCTATTTTGTCTGCTTTACATGCTCATATTGTCCCGTGTAGGATCAAGTATCGGGGTCCAAATGCATGTGTCCACCTGGTTTCTCTGGAAAATATTGCCAAGATGGTCCGAGTCCTTGTGACAGTGCCCCGTGTCTGCATGGAGGGCAGTGTGTTGAGAGGGACGGAAAGATAGCCGCCTGCAACTGTCCTGCGGGATATTCGGGAACCTTCTGTGAGGTTGGAAAAATCTATAAACAAAACATCAATAAAACAGAATGAATCAGCTGTCAGATTCAGTCGCGTATTGTTTTAATATGAGCTGGAAACCTTTCTTAAATTCTGTAGTTTGATTCATTTTTGTTGTTTCAGCTAACATTGGATCCCTGCAATCCTAACCCCTGCCAGCAGGGGGTGCAGTGTTACAGCTCCGAGGGAACCTTCACTTGTGCCTGTCCTAATGGTTACTATGGCAATGAGTGTGTGAGCCTCAAAAGTCCTTGCATCGGTCAACACTGCCAAGGTAATCGGAGTACTTTGTGTTTGCATATGTATTATATGTTTGTGAGTCTAACTTCCCTGCTAATCCATGTCCAGGGGCCATGTCGGACACAACACACGGGGGCCTCAGCTTCTACATGATCCTGGTGGGGGTGTTGGCCCTGGTGACGGTGTGCGGCTGCGCGGCCTGCGCCGTCATCCTCTCGCACCTCCACCGAAAGCGGAAAAAGCAGCAGGCCGTGCCACAGGAAGAGGGCATCAACAACCAGAGGGAGTTTGTCAACCTGATCAGAAACGTGGACCGCCCCGTGCCCCTCCTGCCCTCGGCCGGCCCCCCGACACAGCCCCCGGCTCCTGCGCCCGTTTCCCGTTTCTACGAGGAGATCGAACTGACCCTGCCCCCCTCCCCGGCGCCTCCACAGGCCTCCCCGGTGCTAAAGCCGGCCCCTGCCCCCAAACTAGACATTTCAAACCGAGAAAGGGAGAAACTGAACCGCTTCCATTACGCAGACAATCAGGAGCTGGAGGTTTGACCCTCTCTGGGGCTTTGAAGCCTCTGAGGCGTTTATGGAATTATTGTTGCATCTGTAGCACTTTCTTGCTGACAGGACCCCATCTCCAGTTACTTGCACTGTTTCGATGTCGTGGTTATAATTGTGCTGGCTTTTGGGCCTTGTGTGCTCAGATGGCTACCGGTAGTCACCTGAAGAGCAAAGGCTGCTATACGGAGGGGTCAGAAAAACTTGCTGTGTCATTTTTGGCTACAAAAAGCAGCAGGATTGTGATGTTTGACTGAAAGACTCAATCTTGAAATTGACTGACTATCCTTGGAGTGCCTGAGATACTGTAAGGTGTAAGCAGAGGATCCCCCCTCTGCACGATTCTCTGACCACATACCTTGGGTCACGATGCCACCTGACTGGTGTGCAGGACTTTATTTCTGTTTCTGACTGCACTCAGGCTGAAGGATGCCTATTTAAGTGTGTTTCTGTGTTTAGATGTATGTAAGAGTGCCTGAGAGTGAAAGAGAGAATGCACACCGTGTTTCTGTTGGGAAATGAAGATCAGACACATAAATACTTAAAGAAAAGAAAACCAAGTTGATGTACTCATCAAAGGGTGTTCAGACTCCTGAGCTAAAGGTTTTTGAGCCTTCTCTTTTTAAACTATACACTGTTGCCTGTATTGTCTCTGTAATACTGCAGTTTGTTAAAGATGTATGATTTTTTCATACCTGCTTGTAAAATAGCTTTTTTGTACATAAATATATTGTACATATTGATACTCTTTTTGTACTACAGTTTGGTCTGGAACTATCATTGTATTACTTTGCTTTGTCCCATTTCACTTTCCATTTGGAGCAACAAGCACATGTGGAATGTAATAAAAGTGCATTTAACAACTTTTTTTTAACTTTTTATTCCATCTGATTCTGAATAACCAGCATTAGGGCCAGACATCCTCTGGGCTATGCTTAAGAGCTGAATAACAACAGCCACTGCAAGTCAACTCAGTCAGAAGAAGCTCTCTTTTTGTTTCAATATGTGTCAGTTAGTAATGAAAATGAATTACTGTACCTGCTCAACATTGATGTTTCCTTGAGCAGGCCCAGTTATCACAGTCTCTTAATTACCATTCACATAACTGCTGGTGGATGTTATCTTGAGGGCAAAATCAATTTTGACTAATGATGATGTCTTCTTAAATATTTCAATAGTTAAGAGTATATAATGAAAAGCATCTCTAAATCACCAGTGTGCAGGCTTGGCTTGGATAGAAATAGATACAGTATACAAATGAAAATACAATATCTTCTCATTTTAAACCAATAAATACAAGCTTTCTTAATCTCAAATGGGGTTAGCGTTAGGGTCAGGGGTTATTTAGACAATTTATGTCTTGGACTGCGACCTCTGAGACTGTCCGTGGGTCCCCTGCGGCTTTCTAGGAAAGCAAATGTTTTGCAGTTGTCTGTTACCATGTTTCTGAAAGACAATTGATCAGTAGTATTTTGACATGAATTGTGAGCTGGATCCAAGAAACTTCTTGTTTTCACATATTCAAAACTGAAATTAAACATGAACATTATTGCTGAAGCCCACAAGCTGATGTATCCTGTGTGTTTACAGCTGTTGTGTTGCATTCGAAATGATTCATGGTAAAGTACAAAATGCCATTGTGAGAAAGGAAAGGTGCTGGGATTCGGGGCGTTGCAGAGAGGCCAAAGGGTCACAGTGGTGACAGTTAATGGGTGAATGCATGTGACAAATGTGACCTTTGTCCTGTGCAAAAAGCAGCAGGCTGGAAATGAACACGGGCTTCCTATCACCATGCTGCTCGGGAGGAAATGTAGGAAACAGAGTTTACACACATACATGTGCACATATGGTGTGTTGACTTTCTCTTAACCCGCTGTGCAATACAGGATGTTGGAATCCTGTGTGAGGGGTGCAACGTTTACTTTCAGAAACCACTGCCCCTGAATCCAGACATGCTTTTAAATGTCCCCTTTCTTACTTCCTGTCGACCTGTTTTATCAATTGAAAGCCAGTTAAGATTCATACAAATACAATTAATCACACCAGTAATGTTGGTAGTGATTGACTGAATAAAATACAAGCCCAGTATGTATGAAATGGTCACGATGGTCATGAGAAAGTGACAGCAGAATTACTGATGTGGTTTCAGAGGACATGTTTTTTTTAGTTAAGTTTCCAAAGAATTATGTTGTCAACCTCAGTAGTTTCAGATCAGATGAGAGCCAAAAGTCTCATGGATATAGTCTGTCTGAGAGGGACATCTTGTGGCAATAAAAGGTACTCTGTTCCCTAATTCATCCTCAAAGGGCTGACTCAAAGTCGCACACTTTTCTACAATCTTTTATGATCAGATGTCAAGGTTTTTCCATTATAAGAACTCAAGAAATTGTACATATCAACTTAAACCGAGTGAGTTTACCAAAACAGAAATAATGTCCATTTTCAATCAAAAAAATACAGCAAGTAATAGTTTTTTAGGTTTATTAAGTCAAAATGTTACAACTTTTAATATTTGACTCTGACTGTATTAAAATAGTTCACATAAAGTGCGCGAGCCATGTTGATAAATGTCCTGTGGTGTGAGCAGAGGTTAGAGCGCCCCTACAGGCTGACCCCGGAACTGCAGCACGGCCGTGTGCTTCGGGAGAAGGAGGCGTGTGGTGTCGCTCCGCTGCAGCAGCCGTAGGCTAAACGAGATCAACCCCAGTTTGTGTTTGTGGACCTTAAAACTGGTACGAAAGAAAGGGCGGGTGGTGCACCGTACTCTGTGCAACTGCATGTCGTACCCCGTGTTGGTAATGTGGTCGTGAGTCCGGCGGATTTAACATGTTTTTGCATTAGCTTAGCACCGCTGGTCCATCATGCTAACTGGAAGCCTAGCACTAGCAAGGCCTGTATAACTTTACACTGTCTGGCCCATTTGTGTCCTTACAAAGTCCAAATGAATTAGAAAGTGACTCTATTTGAATACTGCAAGCTTTAAACAACCACCTCGTGAGGTGCAAATAACTTAATTGAACGACTATTGGGTAAACGAGCTCGGTATCGGGAAGTCGTTTAGCTACGTTAGCATCTGAGCTGCACAGCGTTTAGCTCCAGTCATTAGCCGACAGAAAACACTAGCGACCAAGAGTAGATGTGTAGGCGAAACATTACTTCATCATTATGTAATGATATGATTTGGAGCAGCACTTTTGTCACAATAATTTTAACAATTTAGTGAGGCAGTAGCCTATAATACAGCCTTAATCCAGTTGATTTATATGTCACTTAGGTAAAGGCGCTTTAATCAGGTCGGTGCACTTTGACATCTAATTGTTTATTTCCTGGATTCAATTCTGTGACCCTCTTTGTGGTGCTGATGACTATGAAGCTGTGAATTTCCTAAAGTAGATTAAAAAATATATTTTAACTTGATTAATGAGCATAGTGAAATGGAATGGATATATAATCCCCAAATTTCAGGTTTAGTTTTATTGTTCTTTGACCGTAAACACCAAAAATGAAGTATACTTAGTAACCCAACAAGTACCCAGTTTGTTCAGTTCAAATTGGGGGGGGGGGAAATTAGGGATGATAAATAAAAAAATCTGTACAATCATGCAACATGCACATTGGTAAGCATTTGGATGCAAGTAAAAAAGAGGTGTTGACACCATCATCTGGATTTCTTCCTTTACTCAAACGACCCGATTTTAGCGCAAATCCTCATTGTGGATATTTTTTATTTTTCTGGAAATGTGTTCGTTAATCTTTGAGTCTACAAAATTGACCAATCGATCTCTTGATTTGTAGTTAATCAGCCATACCGCAGATGGAGAGTTCGACTTTAAGCAGAAATTAAAGTGTGATCTCTTTCTCTGATGAGACTCCTTACGCTCTGTCCCCCCCCCCCCCCCCCCCCCCTGTTCGGTCTTTGCTGACCTCTGCAGCAGCCGTGCCCCGCCGCGCCCCCACCCCCAGCGGCGCCGTCATGTGGCAGGAGGCCCGCAAACACGAGCGCAAGCTCCGTGGCATGATGGTAGACTACAAGCGCCGCGGTGAGCGTCGGCGAGAGTACTACGAGAAGATTGTAAGACCGTTTATAACTTTGCCGAACAACTTCTGAAGAAATATTGTTTCTGCTGTAGCTGTGTGAATGGAAGTTCTTTTGGACCTTAAACGGACAATAAACGAGTGAAAGGTTCACGAGCTGAGTTGGCCCCCGTTTATTGTCGCCTCTCGACTTTTGACGTTTCAGAAAAAAGATCCGGCCCAGTTTCTCCAGGTTCATGGTCGATCCTACAAGATCAACCTGGATCCTGCCGTTGCGCTGGCTGCAGAGAGCCCAGCAAATATGTGAGGACTATGTGAAGTGCACAAAGCACATGGAAAAGAAATCTCACTGGACGCACCGATTGTTGTTTATACCCCCTTTCATGCTTTGTTTAAAGGATGCCATGGCAAGGAGACGCCAACAACATGATCGACCGATTTGATGTCCGAGCTCACCTGGACTACATCCCCACCTACACCCCCCCTCTGCTCAGCACATCGTACGTTTACCACGGCTTTTTCCATGCCTCACTTAAGCACAGCACGCGTCTGATGCTTCAGCGTCTTTAGACTGGTTTTTCCTTCTTCGTCGTCTTGACGTTGTTCAGTGGAGAATAATTTGAATGAGTTGTCTTTTAAAAATGTTTTTATTGTTACCTTCAGTGTGCCCTGTCATCCACAGTGATTTGCTTGTTAAATACATCTGATTTTATTCTAAAATAATTCTTTACATTTTATTTATTTTTATCCGTGTCCTGTTCAGCATTGTGGCAGCAGAACTGAAATCTGAGTACTGTGTTATGCTGAACACATTTGCTTTGCCAAGGGAGGCTTTTCATTTTTTTCCCCAGCATGTCTGAATAATTAAATGTTTAATCCTCAGTTAGAAGCCATTGCTGCAGTGTTTAAATGAACTGTAATGGTAAATATGGTAACCCTTTGCTTTTGTATTTTACAGCACCCCAGAACAGGAGATGGAGGAGAGGAAGTGTAACTATGAACGCTATCGAGGTTTAGTGCAGAATGACTTTGCCACCAGTGAGTGTTTACCCTGGGTTCATTACGGGGGTTAACAGCAGTCAATGCTGGACACCTGTGTTCGTAATGTGACTGTCACAGTCTGGAAACCTGCTCTCAGTGGGTATATTTTGCAGGTGTGCTCCACGCTTTAACTCCCTGCTGTCCTCTCTCACAGTCTCTGAGGAGCAGTGTTTATACCAGATCTACCTGGACGAGCTCTACGGTGGCCTGTCAAAACCAAATGAGGATGAGAAGAAAAAGTAAGTAAATGATGAAGGGGGGTTTGCTTCTCTTCCAGCGTTTGGTTTTGTTTGTTTTGCCTGCGGTAAGCTTAGTTATACATGCGTTTACAAACCTGTCCCCATATTGTGCAGACTGGCAGAGAAGAGAGCCACTATTGGCTACACCTATGAGGACAGCACCGTGCCCGAGCCCGATCCTCAGTCAGACAAAGATGAAGAGAATTCTGAGAACAGTGAATCCGAAGAGGATGAGGGCATCCCTGATATTGGTGAGGAAATAGGACTGTTGGCGATGAGATTCACAGATCAGAAAATGTAAGCGCTTGGAAATTCAATGAAAAGGCAGAGTGGTACATCAGTGTGTGGTAAAGCCATCGCCTGGCAAAGAGCCACATCAAACACAGGCACACATGAACAGCACCCCATCCTTTTCTCACACACACACACACACCGTTGCTCAGCCAGATTTATTGTAAATGTCACACACTGATGTGATAATGACAGAAATGGACTCCTACCCTACAAGGACCACAGGCAAGTCAACAATGAACACTGTCTCACACAGACAAACTCTTAGTTTAAACAAGTCCAAAAAAAAAAATATAATCATTTGCAAGTCCTTTTTTCTTTTACTATGCATGTTACTTAGTGGGATTTGTGGCATATAAGGGAGAATGGCTTCCACTAAGTTCAATGAAAAAAAAACAAAAATATGAACTCTTATATTTCTGCCCATCTGAACACAAAGTCTTGTCGGTCGGTCTATTTTCTATACATGCCTGTCAGGCATGTATACATTAATGTTTATTTTTTGTATTTACAGATGTAGAGGTTGATGTCGACGAACTGAACCAGGAACAGCTGCTGGACCTAAACAAAATGGCTACTCCATATGGAATGGCTGAGGGCGACTTTGTTAGGTAACAGCACACGTCTCCGTAACAACACCAGGGACTCTCTGAGTCTGTTGTAGGCGTCGGGGTGGGGGTTAGTGTAGCTGTGAGTGTCCCTGCATCACACGGGAGACAGGAGTTCGGTTCCCCCTACAGGGAGATGCACATGTACGTGTTCTACTTTGTAAGTCGCTTTGGATCAAAGAGTCTGTTAAATGCATAAAAACAAACATACTAACATTGTTGAAATGTGTAAAATGAACAAACGGCAGGTTTTCATTAAAGGATTGATGGTTTTGGCAAACAAATCTGTTGCCACACTGTCTCTGAATTAGACGCAGTGCGGATGGTTTGAGGGACTTTTGTCACACTTTTTTCGTTCATTTTAACGACGCTGTTGTTTAAGCACTGAGATTATTTCACCTTTTTTTTTTTGTCAGGATGTTGAAGAAAGACAAGGAGGAAGTGGAAGCCATTAAACACGCCAAAGCCCTGGAGGCAGAGAAGGCCATGTACTCTGTAAGGTTAAATCCTACGATGAAACACAGACAGAGTTTTTTATGTCTTTAGCATCTTCATTTGCGTGTATATCTGCTTGTTCAGGGCCGTCGCTCACGCAGACAGAGGAGAGAGTTCAGAGAGAAGAGGCTGAAAGGCAGACAGATTAGTCCACCCAGGTAAGCGAACAGCTCACCCCCCTTGCACTTCCACTCGGGTCTCTTCTACAGATGTTCTAATCTTCTTCTCCTGTTGTGTTTCAGCTATGCCAGAAGAGACAGTCCCACGTACGACCCTTACAAACGGTGAGCCGACAACACTTTGTGCCCATTTCACCCTAAACTGTCCACAAATGTTTGTTTTTTACCTATCATTTCTGACTCTTTTTATTTTTGGTATCCAATTCCTCCCTCAGGCCAGAATCGGAATCCAGCTCTGAATCGCGCTCACGGTCTCGCTCCCCGGCCCCGGAGAAGATCACCTTCATCACCAGCTTCGGAGGCAGCGACGATGAATCGGCGGCGGCGGCGGCGGCAGCGGCGGCAGCAGCAGCTCAGACCGCCGCCCCTCACGCTGGCCACGCCCCCTCCAGCTTGCAGCACTCTGCAGGTCATAGCAGGGGCTCCCGGTCGGTAACTTTCCCCCCTTCTTGGCTTATCTTTGGTTTGTTTTTTTCTCTGGTCGCGCCATTATGTTCATTGACATGACCACAGCTGTTGGTGCTGAGAGAATTCAGGCGGAGTTTTGTGATCGGTGAGATGGATCAGTTTTCAGACACGCTGACCTGAATTACTGCATGTGATTGAAGAGAGGCTGAAGTTTCATATATGGATTTATGATTATGAATGCCAGTTTGTGGCAGTGCAGGTAGATGCCAAACACAGAAATCTGCCATTTTTGTACAGTTTATTTGAGATAGACATTGTATTATTACTATTACACTAGATGGCAGCTAGCCTTTTAGGAGCTACACTGAAGTTATCGCTGAAGGTCTGTGTCTGTTTGTTCAGGAGGCGAAGGTCATCCTCCAGTCGCTCCCCTTCCTCCTCCTCCTCCTCCTCGTCCTCCTCCTCTCGCTCCTCGTCTCGGTCTTCCTCTCGCTCGTCTTCCCGTTCACGGCGGAGCCGGCGAGGACGTGGGAGGAGAGACGGGCGCCGCTCCCGGAGCCGCTCCCGGTCGCGGCGGCGTTCCAGGTCCTACTCCAGAGGCAGAGGAGGAAACGGGACTGGCTCCTGGAGGAGGCGGGACCGCACCAGATCGCGATCTAACGACCGAGAGAGGGACAGAGGGAGAGACCGGGACCGAGACAAAGATCGGGACAGGGACAGGAGACGATATTCGGCACGCAGGAGAACGAGGTCAGCATCTCAGCCCTGTTTCAGTTTGGCTTCAAAACCTACAGCTGTGACCAAAGCCAATGTTTCTCTTTCAATAGGTCTCGGTCCAGCTCAAGGCAAGGCGGCAGTACAAGGCGAGGGGGTCGGAGCAGTGGAGGCCATCGTCGGGGGGACAGCAGTAGTCGCAGTCCCTATGAGTCACCCAGCCATTCGGCCCACAGCCCCTCCCCAGCTCACAAAGGGTCCCAGCCTTCTGCCACCACCATCTCTGACAAGCTGAGAAAGTAAGACTGCGCAGGCATTAAGATATTTATGAAAACACCTCTGAATATAGCAAAAGAAACATGCAGACTGCTGGTTTAGAAGTATACTAGAACCTTTACATACAAATTTAGTCTGTTCTGCGACCTACTTTTATGTTAAAAATATTTGTATGTTTGATCAAATATTCCCATAAGAATACACTGTAATTCGTTCCACAGCCCAAAAACCTACGATAACTCATAAATACTGCATATAATTACACGTGGCATTAAAACAAATGCATTATATAAGAGTGATGTAAAAAGAAAGAAATTATAAAGAAATAATCAATAAAAGGGGTTTTATATGGGCAAACGGAGGTGTGGGCAATGCAGGAGGAGACGGTCGGTGTGGAGGTGGAGACTGAGATACAGGACTTACCGTAACTCACTCCAACTTTTACTACGTGAACTTTAAACTAACTTAACTTTTTTCATTTTTATATATATGTTTTTGTTTTTTCTCTGACTGTGGAAATTTACTTTGGGTGTCTAGTCGAATATTTGATCGAATTTCCCTTCGTATTATGGAAAATTCAAATACAGCAGAGGTTCTACTGTATTTGGACACAGAATAGTTTTTGTTCTTAAATAAAGAAGCAGGACTGTCCCGCCTCTAGGGCCGTATGACACTTGTGTGGGATTTTTGACTCCAACTCTGTTGCTTACGTTATGACAAAGTCGTCATGGTTGTGGTTGTTTGTGCGGCTGCTAATATGCACGACTCACATCAGCCGTCTGTGTTGTTACATTGCAAAGCTGAAGGGGGAGCCAAACTGCAAACGATAATTAAACGTAGCCTCAACTGTACTGGACCCCGCGGCTCTGCATGGCCAGGATTTTTGTTTCATTTCTGCTTTCTCAGAAGATTCTTTCACTGTCTTTATTTCAACCCACGCCTCCTAAATGAAGGCCCAAAAACACACGATAGAACCATCCTTTAACAATTTGTTACCTTCTGTTATGAAATAGACCCATTAAAGACCTGCCGTGTATTTTATTTTTGATTTATATTATATGATTTTTAATTTTTTTTAATATCCCTTAAGGTTAGGATGTCTTTGAATGTTCAAACCGTATCTCTGTGTAAGTGAACGGTTCCCAGTCAGCCCAGCGTAACCTCCTCTTCGTCTCTCCTCTCCTCAGGCCTGACACTGCGGGTGGTAAAGAGACGGGAGCTGCCAAAGTCAGTAAGAATTTGTTCTAGCCGGGTTTCTTGCTAAAGCCTACGCCTCCCTCATCCCTGACAGGCTGACATGGTTGTCCTTCAGACAGGGATGTAGAAGTCGTTTTTACCTGCAGAAAGATTGTTTTTTTCCCCCTCCAAGCTGGACGTAATGTGCAGTCCTAATCCACCTGTGCTTGTTGCGTTACCGTACGAAGCAAACATTGACCAAAGTTTTTACTGTCCAGATGGTTTGTATGGGCGGTGAATGCTTGTATGCTGTACAAATATGAGTGCGTGAGACAGTTCCATGTGTTTGTAGTCTCCGACGTACTGCAGGGCATCACTCAAGACTCAGATAAACAAGGTGACTTCTTTCTTAGGACCGTTGGACTCTTCGCCGCAATGAGCTTATTTATTCTGACCGAAAAAGGTCAATTACTATCTCACTAAAAAATAAATTGGCACTGTCATCTCGGCTTCCACAGTAGAGCAGCTTCACAGACATTAGGACATATTCATACACCGAGGAGCAGTTTTCAGAGACTTCTTTAGAGCTACAAATACTTGGGACTCTTTGACTGGACTTGTTCTCTCGTCCTGCCTCCTGGAAAGGAAGAAAGTACAGCCATCAAACAGCCGTCTTAGTTATGATGTGCGGCGGTGTTGAGCGAGCCCGCGGCGCTTTGACCTGCGGTTTTTCTTGCCTGGCCAGGTCTGAACAGCCCGGTTCTGGGTGTGTCGCTGACAAAACGCCACGGGCTTTTCCTGAACTTCTGTAAAGTTGCTGGACCTGAACTTGCTCCTCTTTCACTCTGACCATTTTGTTCTTCTCTTCAGCCGTCCTCCTTCCTTCCTTTCATCTCAGTGCTGTGGATGTAAACAATGTCAAATGTTTTGAAAGGTCATGTGACGGCCTCCTGGGCCGCTGTTAGCTTTCTGCTGTTAGCAGCAAGCTAACGGCAGCAGCAGTCAGCCTCTGACCACACATAAGCCCCTCTTGTAATTATTTTTATCCCTTGCCTTTTTTTTTTTTTTTTTAAATCTCCAGCCGCTACTGTACATAAAGGTGATAGTATCAAATTTGTTTTAACAGCACATACGCACTCGAGCTCTTTTTGTCCGACTGTGAAGTGTTGTGCTAACACATTTGGTGTCACCTGCAGCCCAAGATGACCCCCCAGGAGAAGCTCAAGATGCGCATGCAGAAGGCGCTCAACAAGCAGTGTGAGTGCAGAGTGCTGCGTCTCAGTGTGCACTCCATTTAAGCAAGTGGAAAAAGATTTAAAGCAGTTTTTTGGTTTTGTTTTCTCTGTATTCAATGTGCTTTTTTCCTCACCTGCAGCCAAGGCGGATAAGAAAGCTGCCGCGGTGAAGATCCAGCAGCAGGAGCACAAACGGCAGGTGTGTGTTTGTAGTTGAGATTAACGCTGAAGCGGAGGCTTCCTTATCGTCCATTTCCCCTCACCGCTCTTTGTTTATCTTACAGGAGCGAGAAGGAGAGCTGCGAGCCATGGCACGCAAGATCCGCATGAAGTAAGCCAGTGTGTGTTGAAACAGACAGTGTGGCATTCGTGTAGCAATTGTCTGACCTTGGGGCCTTGCGTTTTAGGGAACGTGAGCGGCGTGAGAAAGAAAGGGACGAGTGGGAAAGACAGTATGGACGACAGAGTCACTCACCTTCTCCCTCCAAATATGGTGAGGCCCAGTGTTTTCCGCGTCTCAGAACAGTTGATTTGGTTTGGGGGACATTCTGGTTCTTTAGTCGTCAGTCCTTCATTCATCTGAAATGTTTACGCAATTAAACTTATGAATTGCTGCCATCAGTTTGTGTGATTATTTAGAGTTCTGTTTTCATTGTGGCTTTGTGTCCTCTGTCCCTCAGGCCGAGAATCCAACTCATACAAAAGGTATGTAAGAGGCCACAAGAATTTCCATAGTTCAGTGAAGCAGACTGATTTACGTCTGTTTTCTTTTCCGTTTTGAATTCTCTTTGGGCACAGATTGGCTTGCCTGTTTATTAGGTGCCTAATCATTACCAAAACAAACCCAAACTTGTTGTGTAGCGGCTTTAAAACTGCACTCAGAGAGCACTTTGTAATGAAGGCTGTGTTTTTACAGGGTAGAACTTTCCTTCAATCCAAATACAAACCTCGATTCTGCATGAGCTCTAAATGTCTGCGGCGACTCAGAAGTCCACTGTATTCTTTGTTGTGCTCATAGAATATGGATTTGGTGTTTGGGATTATTATTATTATTATTCAAAATAAAATTACACTGGGACCACCAGCCAGTCTGGACTGACTGAACTGAGTTGTTTCTGTACACAAAGTTACTAGTTACCAGGTGTTTTGTGTGTGTGTGTTTTTCCCCCAATTTTCTTATTTTTTTTACTCAAAGGAAAAAAAAGTTTTGTATACTGATGTGATAAAGATTAAAAGCTCTATATCTGTGATGTCAAAGTAATATTAGATCAGCAGTGCTCTTAAAATAATTCCTATAGTAATTTTTCATATTGGATGAATCATTTGGAACCAGCTTTTTAACTTTTTTCTTTCTATTTGTCCAGAAGGTCCCGTTCCCGATCACGGTCGAGGAGTCCATATTACAAATACTGAACTGGACGGTGGGACATGGGAGGCTTCCTACTGAACCTTCCATTCTTCAGCTGGTTGTTGGCCCACATACTGCCCAGCGGCTCAGGCTCTTACGCATAAATATGACGAAATGTCGTGACAGGCTGTTGGTTAATTTAATAACCGAGAAACCTGCACTCAAACTCATCCGTTCTCTTGCACTGCTCACATACGCAGCCCGTGAAACACTGACTGACCTGTTCAATTTACTGACAGATTTTCTTTTTCTTTTTTTTTTTTTTACCAAACTTGAGTTTGATCTGCCCTTTAAATTTTTAAAAAGAGTAAGCATTTGCTTCAGTGTCTTAATCTATGCATGCGACTCTTAAATGTTTTTTTTATTTTTTATTTGTACTTCTTAAAAATCGTAATACAAAGCAAAACCTTTGATTTTTCCTGGTATCTCCCTCTTACACAATTTACTTCATTTCTGTAACAGGAAGTTCTCAATCTTAGGGATCATTTTAAACCGGTCCTATGAACTAATGTACAGGATATTTATACACCAAGTTGAAACCACTTTATGAGCCCAGATTTAGTTTCTATGTTAATTCGAGCTATCGGTTGCTCTTTTTGTACTTTGTTCCCAGTCAGTTACCAGAAAACAACTTTTGTTCTCATCAACGTATAAGATTAAATACACAAAAACAAATAAAAATGACTTTAAAATGATTTCACTCAGTTTCCTGTCTTTACTTTAAACGCCATTAAACGTGGCCTGTGGCCTCAGCGTGCAGCGCGCGCTTCCCGCCGGAAGAGGGCGACGCACGAGGACACATCACCCCTCCTGCCAGTCATTCCGTAACTTCTGAGCTGTCCCCAGGCTTCTCTGGCTCTTACGAGGTGGGGACACAACTTCGGAACACGAAAAGCAGAAATGAGTGTGACCCCCGCCTCCCCGTTCCGGTGTGGTTTTACAGACACCTGTGAGGTGGTTCCTCAGAGTTGCTGAGGAGAAACTAGATGAGCCTCACGAGGGAAAAAAAAAAAAAAACTCCTCTGAGTCAGTCAGATAAAAGTGGTCAACTACACTTAAAGGTGTAAATGTTTTTTTATTTTTTCAAAGTGATATGACACCTTGTTTACTGAGGACGTTACCCAAAGAGGGCGGGGTCAGAGTTGGCGGGGCGGGCGGTGCTTACGGTCGCCCATGCCCCCTTTTGCCCTCCGCGCGCTGCGGGGGGAAGAAGCGTGAACTTGAACGCTTGTCTCCACAGCTCAGCGCGAGCCCAGGCGGAGGCCAGCCAGTCTTATCAGTCACAGCCCCCCCCCCCACCCCCCCCCCCCCCCCTTCCACCGTCTCGCGACTTTCGGTCAACTTATCTGACGAGGAGCAGCTGGACGGGGCTCTCGTGCGGGTTTATGACCCAGAACGGTGCCAAACGCTCGACGCGATGTCCAGGCGTAAACTTGGAAGCAGACCGCAGCACCTGAGTGCAATTCAAGGTAAGCCCGGAGAGGAGCCGCGGCGGCGGGGGGGGGGTCTTCAGCTGGGGCTGACGCCAAAATTCAGTTATGTTGTTCTTTCTGGGGCCACTTTTTATGTTATTTTTTTTTTTACTCGTGCTGGCATCGGTCACCATAATGCTCATATAGACGGGCTGGCGGTGGGGGTTTTTTGGGGGGGGGGGGGGGGGGGGGGGGGGGCTTCGTTTTATAAATTATCAAACGCCAATGATACGTCTCAGAAGTAGGTTTGTGTTAAATATTGGTGCCTTCTGGCTTTTGGCGGACGCCCGGTTGAGGAAGGGCACAGGTAACGTCCGCGTTTTGATGCGTGTGTGCTGCAGCTGTGGGCTCCCAGAGAGGAAGGACCGGTTTATTAGCACGCTCTTGTCGGTAACTACAGGTCCGAACACGATGATTCAAATTTTTTTTTCCCCCCCAGGTTTTTTAGAGGATGACCAAGTTTCTCAGACGGTCTCTGGTTTGTTTTCGCGAGACTCTTTTTACGCATCCGCCTGTGGGACACGGCACCTTAAAGCCATGCCTCTGCCTCCGATCTGCGTCAAATCAGCCATAAGTTGTTGTGTTTTATTTTTATCCCCCTTTTTAAAAAAAGAAAATCTGTCAGTTAGACAACACTCTGAGGTAAAGCTGTGGTCCAAACTCGGAGTCGGTCTGTGTGACTGTTTGGATGAGTCATATATCATAAAGCTGATGGGAAACGAGGGCAGAGAGTCGAACGGCGTTTGTTGTTTTTTTTTCTAGTTTTTTTTTTTTTTTTTAAACAGTTCTCCACTGGAGACCAGTGGTGCGTGTCTGGTTGTGACCACAGGCCCTGACTCAACGCGCTGTTGTGTGCGTGCGCGCACGCGCGTGCTGCCGCGCCTTGCAAGTCTGCACACACAGCGCGGGCCCGAAACAGGAAAGGTGACATTTTTGAGTAACAACTGGCGAGATCCGACTTCGAACTGTACTGTCTGTACCTGTCCTGTTCGCTCGCTGCTGGCCTGCCCGGCCTGGGCAGGTGGATCCAGCCTAGGCATCAAGGTGTGCCCGTGGCCGAGTTGAGCAACAGAGCCCACCCCCCCCACCCCTTCTCCCTCCCCCTCCCTCTCCCTCACCCCTCCGCTCTCCACGGACTGGCTGGAAAGGTGCAGAGTTTACTCAGGCCCTCCACAGGCTCTGTTGAAGTTCTGCCTGCAGACCGAGGTCGCATTCAGAACTGCGAAGCTCACGCCATGTGTCAAGTTAATGTTAAATCAGATTAGCTGCCCTGCAAGAGGGTGAGCATAATGCAGCAGGCCTGCTCTTATCTCCAACACCTTCAACTTTTTTTTTTTTTTCTTTCTCTCCTTTATTGCAATCTACTTCCTGTTGAGAAACTCCCGTTGCCTGCGGCTGGTAGGCAGCGTTTTCGTTTGAGTGAAAGCCGAACGCCCCAGTCCAGACCACCTTCCTCACTTCTGGATTGCTGCTGTCACTCCAGTGTGAGCCCAGGCGGACGGTTGGGCTCCTCGCCCCTGCAGCCGGTGGCCCCAGTCAGAGCGAGCAGATCTGCTACCGGTTAAAGGAAGTGGTCAGCGTTGGCTGAGCAGATTGGCCTCAGCGAGCCTGTAACTGAAACTAGCACTTTCAATCAACCACGTCTGTGTGTTTTTTCCATTGAGGTCAAGCTGTTTCGGCTGTCATTTATGAGAGCAGAACCAAAAGCTGGTGTTCCGGCGTCCAAACGGACTGCCCTACAGGATCCCCTGCTAATATCTGAGTTTTAAAGATTATTTCTTTATAGTACAGACATGGGACTGGTATCCTTGACATTAGGAGCATTTCATTGAATTCTGATCCACTGAAGGTGATGGAAGCATATGAAAAAATGAGGGACTACTACTAAAATGTTTAATTAATGAGCGAAAATGGCACTTTAAAAAAAAAAAAAATCTGACAATGATGCTCTGTTTTGTTTTCAAAGGATTCTGAGCTGCATTAACTTTTTGCTTACTTTCTGCAACCTCTTTAATTAAAAACAAAAAGAGGAACTGGGCTTTCTTTCGGTCTCTCCAATAACACAGATCTCTGAAATAGTTCTCTTTCTTGCCCCCAGATGCCACCGACATGGAGGTCACGGCCGGCTCATCAGGTGACCCCCACCACCCTCCTGCGCCTCCCCCGCAGGCTGGAGCCCCCGACGAGGGTCGGGACCTCCTGACCTGCGGCCAGTGCAGCCAGGCTTTCCCTCTTGCCCACATCCTGGCGTTCATCCAGCACAAGCAGGGGGGCTGCGCCTCCCAGAACCAGCCCGCCGGCGCCACCCCCCCCTCTCCTGCCGGCCGGGCCGGCCACCAGCGGCGCCCCCACGCCGAGCCCCGGCCCGGCTTCATCGAGCTGCGCCGGGGGGCGTCCAGGGACCGCGGCTGGGGGGAGGAGCCCAGCAAATCAGGTGAGCGGGCGGAGGCGGTGGAAGGAGAAGGGGGCCGGCAGGTTGCTAATTAGCGACTCTGTTTTTTTGTTTTGTTGAACTTTTTTTTTTTTTTTTTCCAACCTGTCTTGGTAGAACGACTGCTCCTCCTCCCCTCCCGAGTCCAGCTCATTAACTAGCCGTTGCCATTAGCAGACGTAAGTGAGTTAGTGACGCGCGGGCTAATTGCGTGGAGAGGGTAGGCGTCAGGAACACTGGGAGGGCGCGGGCGGTCCCCGGGGGCTCGGCGCTCAGCACCTGAGCTCCCTCCCGACTCCCCGGCTGTCAGTCTCTGAGGTGGAGTGGCCAGGTAAACATGTTCCTTCCTGCCCGTCGCCCTGCGCGCCCAGGACGGCCGAGAAGGTGCGCCCGGCCGGGTTTTGCTGACGCGGCCAGAAAGGATGCAAGCGGGACGCATCCCGCAGCCCCCCCCCCTTGCTGTCGTGACACCAGAGTGGAGGGCCGTTGCATCATGTGCAGCTCCTCTCCAACCGCTCTGCCCCGAGCCGAGCCACCTGAGCTCCTGGGAATGTCCTGCCGTCTCTTCGTCTTCCTCCTCTCCCTCATCTTGTTTTCCCGGCTCTCTCTCTCTCTCTCTCTTGTGTCTCTTCTTGTTACGTGTGAAGCTTTTAATGCAGAAGCACACACTTGTCCTGCGGGCCTTTTCTTTCTTCACGCTCTCGAGAAGATGAGCCAAAAACTGTGTGGCTGATGCCACAATGCGAGACGTCCCGGGGAAAAGCCTCGTTTTGAGGAGTTTGACACAAGTGGATGGCAGCGAGCGCCCAGTGGAGAATCGCACCAGGCCTCGGTTTGCCGTCCGACTCCCAATCGATTCGAAACGGAGGCGGCGTTTAGTCAGACAGCCGGGGCAGGTACAAGTGCCCCGTTGCAAATTTTGAAACTCTCCCCGTCACACACACACACACACACACACACACACACGCGTGCAGGCAGGCGTGCGTGCGTGAGCAGTTCCTTCCTTTGTGTGATGCTCGAGGGACGCTTGCACGCACCATTTCCGTCTGTCCACAACCCCACATGTTTTTCACTCTGTTCCTCGTCTCTCGTCTCGGAGTCAGAGAGCACGGCGGTTTGGTAATTTGCCACCCCGAGAGCTGCACAACAAACACGTGCGGGAGACGATGAGCGTGAGAGCACGCTAGCTCCTGAATAATGCAAAAGGAGATAAGTTTGGATTAAATTTTTTATTCACTGCCGTCGAGTGCGCTTGTTTGGAGTTTGTCATATTTCCCACCCCCCCATCCCCCCCAAACCCTCCAAAGCTTTGGGTTTTTATCGGGGGAGCTGCTGAAGTTGTCGGACGCGCGGGGCGTCCCGCCGCCCTGCAGGTCGGAGGTGTTTTGACTCAAGTGGCGAGCCGTTTCAGGCGTCTGACGTTTGAAAGATGACTGAAAGCGAAAGAGCAGTTATCCCACAACACACCAGCCCTATTTTCTATTTTCTGCACTCAAAAGAGAGAAAGCAAATGGAGGAGAAAAGGGGGGAGAGCAGGATGGATTACTGGAGAGCCGCATGCATCTGTCTCATTCCTTTTTATTTATTCTCCTTGTTTGTTTTTTTTTTCTCCTCGTCTCCAACGCCTCCCCGTTTCTTCCCCCCCCCCTCTTCAACACACTTTTGCTTTGCCCTCTTTCAATTTCTCCCCCCCCCCTCCTCTTCTTCTCTTTTTCTCCTCCCTCTGCCTCCCAAGGGAGAAGAGATTCTGCCTGCTGCTCGTTAGTGCTCCCAGCCAATCTGCATTTTTAATTAGTAGTTATTGCTTCTGCTTAATATTCAAGTGCTACCCTGGGCCAAATGGGAATCCTTACAAAAAAAAGGAGGAGTGAGTGAGTGAAGGAGAGAGAAACCGGCTGGGTATTGTGTTTCACTCCAGGACCCCGAGACAAAAGCCCCCCCCTCCACCCTCAGGGAAAGATTTGGTGGGTTTTTCTTTTGGGGGGGGGAGCTGAGGAGAGTTGGGGTTGGAGGATGGGTCTCAAGTACAATTCGAAGGAGTGACATATTTTTCGTGGAGTCTCTCGGCCCCCCGCGCTACCATACAATCTTTTTTATCTCATTTTCTTTTTATCTCCCGAGCCCTGACCTACCTATCGCTCTCTTACTTTTTTCCCCCCTTCCCACTCTTCACCCTATTTTTAAAGGAAGCATCTCAACTTCTGCTGGGTTTCTCCTCGGGCTAGGTTAAAGGACACGAGCACCACAGCTTCTCCCGTCTCTCCAGACACGGGGAGGGCGGGAGAGGCAAAAAGAAACAGTTGCTCTCTTTTTCATCTTCACTCTCCTCCCCCCCTCCAGTAAAATACAGAAGGATTTGACTTGAGGAAACATGAAAGAGGCTTATACCAGTCGGCTTTGAACCTCTCAAAAAAAAGGGGGAAAAAAGTGGTAAAAGGCTGTTTTCCTTTCAATTTTGGAAATCTTCTCTCCAATTTTGATTTATGCAGAAAGGCCTCATTTGTCAAGCAGGCTGAGTCAGTGGCTGATTTGCATAAAGCGTTCGTTTTCTGCGTTCTGCTAATTAGCAATTTGCAGCTTAATTGGAGAGTGGCTCTCAGTTAGGAGACAAAGCTTTCTACATATGAAAATATCTTCAGATACACTTTGCGGCATGGCTGTTGGCCTCTCTGCAACTGGATTCTGTCTCCCCCTTCCTGCCTCGGTCACACTTCTCCTCACACCTTTGCCTTGTTTCTGCCCTCGTTCGAGCCAACTTTCTGCTTCACTCGGCCCTCCTCCTCCCCCTCACATCATTCAGACACCAACGAGCTGGGCTCTGCTCCACTGGTGGATTTAGGCTGCTTTATTCTTATACTCATGCGGCATTTATGACTCGAGCGGCGAAAATCAATTTCTTTTTTATTGTTAGACGACGATCCAATTTTTTTTTTCTCTCCATTTTTTGCATGTGAAAGTGTTTTTTGTGTAACTTTCGGGAGCCGGTTGTTTGGATTTCACAGCCTACCAACTGTGAGGGCGTAAAATATTTGCCGTTTTAAAAAAAGCGCATGAACAAGTGCAATCCTAATCTGCGCTCTTTGTTTTTGTCCTGCTTAGAATCTGCTTCTAGGGGCTGCTTTCTGTTAGTGTGCAATAGATCTGCATCGCCAGCGGCTTAGATCAGGTCCTCTGACAAGCATGCAGAGTCCCACATAAGACAGACTCGGCCTCCCGGTTTGAGTCATGCAGCCAGTATTCAGTTGACATAAACTTGCATCACGTTTTCTCCCAAATGTCCGGTTGGAGGCCATTCCTTCTCCAAACAGCTGAGAGAAAACCAGAGGAAAGGAACAGCCCAAAGAGGGACACATTTGTAAAGAAAAAATCCACTGGATTTGTTAAAGACATCAAGTTAGCCGTAAAGCGTGGCAACTTGATGAATTTGCTGTTTCCCCGTATTTTCGAACGTTGTTCTTTGTCATCAGCCACTCGCTCACCGTGTGGGTCCTGTGTGTGTCTTTGCTTGCAGTGGCCGAGGAGCCCCTGTACTTCACCTGCCAGCAGTGCCAGGGCGTGTTCTCCTCCGCCTGGGCGCTCCTGCAGCACGCCCAGCACGCGCACGCCTTCAGCATCTACCAGGAGGACGAGGACTACGACGGCGAGGCGGCAGGAGGCGGAGGCTTTCGGGACGCGTGTCACCTGAACCACGCCCTGGCCTCCGCCTTCCAGCAGACGCGCCGCCCCCGGGAGACGCACGCCCCCCCCGCCACCGCCGCCGCCAACGCCAACGCGCAGGCCATGAACTTCTCGGTGCGGCTCCGGGAGCTGGCGGAGGGCAGCAACGCGGGTGGCTCCCCCAGGGGGCTGGTGCTGTCTCCGTCCTCCTCCCCGCCGGCGGCCTCTCCCTTCCCTCAGGTGGGCGGCGCCGACGGGGACTTCCACTGCGAGCTGTGCGAGCAGAACTTCCGCTCCCTGCGCGCCCTCTCCGCCCACCGGCGGACCCACGCCTGCGAGAGGCCCTACCACTGCGGCGTGTGCGGCCACGCCTTTTCCCAGAGCGGCCAGCTGGCCCGCCACATACGGAACCATCACCGGGAGGCCGGGGGCGGCGGGAGCGGGTTCGAGTCGATGGAGATGGTGATGATGGAGGAGGACGGCGGCAGGCAGGGGGTGATAGGGAGGCTTCTGATGCAGCCGGCCGGAGTGGTGGGGGGGAAGGGGACGGTGGGGCCGGACGTGAAGGCGAAGCGCCCCTCTGAGCGGGACCTGATCCTCCCCAAACCGCCCTCCTTAGCGTCCGGCCTGATGCTGCTGACCTCGCAGGTCAGACCGGCCGACCGGGAGCTGCTGAGGCTCTACCGGCGCCAGAGAGACGGCGCCGAGGCCGGCGAGGAGGAGGCGGAGGGGCAGGGCGAACCTCAGCACGCCTCGCCGTGCGCCAGCCCCTCCGAGGGCTCCCTGGAGAGCGGCGAGACCGGCGGCAGCGGCGAGAGCGGCATCGCCAGCGGCAACTGCACGCCCAAGCGTCCGGAGATGGGCGACAGGGTCCGCGGCGTTGCCGAGTGGGAGAGCGAGAGGGGAGAGCTCGGCGAGAGGGAGAAGGAGTGGAGCTCCGCCCAGGTCGGCGAGACGGCGCAGGAGTGGCCGAGGGAGGAGGAGCTGAGGGTCGCCGGAGGGGCGGGCACGGGTGGCGGTGGGGGCGGCGGCGTGTCGGCTGGCGCCGGCGGCAAGAAAAAGAGAGACGAGGCGTGCGAGTACTGCGGCAAGCGCTTCAGGAACAGCAGCAACCTGACGGTGCACCGCCGCAGCCACACCGGCGAGCGGCCCTACCGCTGCGGCCTCTGCAACTACGCCTGCGCCCAGAGCTCCAAGCTGACGCGCCACATGAAGACCCACGGCGCCAAGGGCGCCAAGGCCTCCTTCCTGTGCCAGCTGTGCGCCGTCCCCTTCACCGTCTACGCCACGCTGGAGAAGCACCTGAAGAAGGTGCACGGCCTGAGCCACGCCAGCGTGGGGGCCTACGCGCAGGCCAGCGCCGCCGACACGCTGGCCGCCATGAGGGCGGCGGACGGCGCCCCGGCGGTGAAAATGGAGGAGGACGAGATGATGTGCCCCGACCGGTTGGACGCGGAAAGCCAGATGATGCAGGTGGGCGAGGTGAGAGAGGCGGAGGAGGAGGAGGAAGAGGAGGGCGGGGCCGGAGCGGAGTGCACGGAGGGCCCGGGGGGCCCGGGGGGCCCCACCACAGCGGGGGGGCATCCGGAAAGCGGAGCAGAGGCGGGCCTGGCCCTGACCTCTGCGCTCTGAGAGCAACTGGCAGCCCCACGGAGGCAGAGCTGCGTACGACTGAGCTCGCCCGTGCACTTCAATTGGATCCGACCGGAGACAGCAGCAGGTAGCGGCGTCCCCCCCCCCCCCCCCCCATACCCCCTCCCACTGCCAGCAGAGGCACACAGCAGCCAGCAGTTGTTCACGATTGTGTGCAAAACTGCTGGTTGAAACCAAGTGCCTACAGCTCTTCAGACCGCAGAGAAAAACAAGGCCATGACATTCAGCGGGGAGATTACCATAGCTCATGAACAGGAAGTGAACTGCCACAGTCCACACCAACGCAGGAAACCGATCACCATGTTGCAGCGCAGGATGCAGAGAACGTGTGATTTATGTCTCTGGTCACCCAGTGGGCAGGTTGAGACGAGCGTAACTGCCAGATTAATCCGATTGGTCCAATCGGCCGACGAGAAAAAAAAAAAAAGCCTGCCGAAAATGACATTCAACAGCGCGTTGTGCTACTCAAGACGTTTTCTTTTAAGAAGACCTTTTAAAGTCTAAAGACAGTTGAACCGATGCAGGGCCGAAATGAATCCAAACACTGCCTGTCTGCAGTCTCTCACACTCCTCTTTTTAAAGGCGCTTGGTTGTCACAACACTTGTCACTTAATGTTTACAGGGCTCACGGAGCAGAGCAAGGTTGTGTCCTGACTTTGTAAAGTTATGCTTGGTTGATTTTTCTGTTTTTTTTCTTTTTCTTTTTTAATTTTATAAATGTGAATACGGAGACTTTAAGTCTCATCTACTGAGGTTTTGTATCATTAGTCTCTATGCATAAAAAAAACTTTTACCTATGTGTGAAACGGGTGTGTATTTTTTCCTCTCTACTGTTGTGATGGTAATTCTTCTCTTTCTTTGTTTACATTTGTAAAGTGCCGGACTGCTTGAAGCTCGTGCATGTTTTGCAGCCATATCTTTTTTTCCCTTTTCCCTTCCTTTGTTTTTTTTTGTTGTTGTTCTTTTTTTTGTTGTTAAAGGAATTTATTTTTATGTCGCCCCGTGTTTAAATTCATTCCTAATTTATGGATGCTGCATGTCAGTAGTGCAACTGATTCACTCTGAACTTCAGGGTCAGCAGGTGCAGCGTAGCTAGCTGAGTTTAGGAGTTTTGTGGGAGGCCGCCAAGCGAGCACTTGGGTGAGTGTGCTGTGAATAGTGTGTGTGCGTGTCTGTGTGGGTGTGTATCCACATCAGTTAAAATCCTCTGGTGACACTTTCACTTGAACTCTCTTTTGATCTTGAGTCTCATGCATGACTTGAGTGGTTGTCATCTCCAAATCAAACGTCTGGTGGGCTTTCCTGTATGACAGATGAGGATTAAAAACCATTTTTTTTTTTTTTACTTGAGAATGAAAACTTCAAGTAGTTTGTTGCCACTTTTTTTTTTTTTTTTCAAGACTACTGTGATGACTTTGCATTATCGGATCGAATTGTTGCGTTTGTTTAAAATGATCTATGAATGAGTACAGTGTAACTGTTCAGGGATAATATTTTGTATATATATTCTTGCTGTTGCTATCCTTGTTATTGTTGTTGATAATATCTGCTTGTCCCTGTAACACACTCCATTTTCCTCAGCGTTGCCGATAGTTTCCTTTTATTCTTGGCACTGGCTCTTATGACGCTCTGTCACTCTGCTGTCTTTGCAAACATGACACCATTTTGTAATGAACTATGTCTTAAGCAGCCTCAATAAATAACTGAGGTAAAATATTTTGTATCGTTGAGGGTTTTTTTCACCCCCACCCCCACCCATCCCAACTCTTAGTTGTAGATGCTTTCCTTCTCTACAAAAAAAATAATAAAAAAATCTTCTATTGGGACTCACAACAAAGCTTTAGCAACTATTTTAAGTGGCTTTTCTCGCCACTGTGTTTTCTCGGTATGGGTTGTTTCTCTGAGGACTGAAGTCAGCACTGACTTATTAATTTTTGATGTGTGTGTTTGGATTAGGGACCCTGGCTCCTTGTTTACATCCTTGTGATGTTACTGGCTTTGTGTAGAAACACTGTAATGCAATTCAGCCGGGGGTTGGAGACTGTGCACGCCACTGTGTACGTACGCGTTCTGTTTAAGTCGGGGTCGGCCGCTAAAGGCTGCGGGAGAAGACCAGCGAGCTTATGGGACAGGGGCAGCCGGGGTTTCTCAGGATATGGGCCACTTCAGCCTGGTTATTCTTTAGAGGGGGGGCACATGGGGAGGCAGAGAGCAGGCTGGCTGGGGAGCGCGGAGGGGTTGTGGATAATTGCTGACTCCATTTTAAGGCTGTAAAAAAAAAAAAAAAAAAAAAAAAAACTCTGCACCAGCATCTCCGGCCTTAACCCCACCCCCTTCTAATGAAAATGAAGTTCTATGATCCCTCTAGCTCATTAACAGCAGGTCTTTTAATGAGCTTTCAACAGGGTGGGGGCTGGGTATGAAAAGGTGGGTTAGTAGGGTGGTGGCGGGGTTATGGCAGCAGATGCACAAGCGTCCACTCCTACCAATTACCACTGTGTCATTGAGAAGAAGGAGGAAGTGAGGACAGAAGCCCCTCAGACCCAGATGAGGCCGTTGGTCCGATTCCCTCCGCAGAGACAGAACAACAACAGCGAGGCGGCTCGGTGCAGGTGATGGGTGGCATCCTGTGTCTCTCCCTCTGGTAAACTGTTGGGCGCCACAGCCAGCGCCATTTGGTGCTTGTATGGAACCAATTATGTAAGGTAAGGTGATACACAGCTCAGCACAGTAGCCCCTACAGTAAGTGGATATCTTTTTTTTTTTTTTTCTTCTTCTCCCCTCCTCTGCGTGCCCTTTGTCTTTTCTCAGCACACACCTACCTGAGCCGCTGTCAAACCTGTGCAGGTCAGTGTCAGTCCCCACAGCGGCCAATCACAAGGTGAAGGGGTTTACCGTGTCAGCCAATAACTGCTGGAGTGCGTTCTGACCAGTGACTGCCCCTGGGCGGTAGCAGCATGGACTTTGAGATCTTATAGTCTAACAGAAGGTCTTTTGTTGTGAGAGGCTGCCGCAGGACAGACACAATGATATCACAGGAGGCATTAAAGCGCGGCCCATACATTAACAGGAAGACGCATTAACATAAGAGGAGAGCGCCTGATATTATGCAAGCCCAGTTAAAATGTTGTGCTTTCATTGTCTACGCTCCGGCACTGTTAAGTGGAGCTGTTCTTTGAACTCCTTGAGCTGCTTGTGAGTCACCAGAAAAAGGCATTGAATACCCTCACTTATGTGTCGTAGCCTGAGGGCCTGAGCTTGGATGTTGGAAATAGTGATGTTTGATTTCTGGCATTCTTGGCCAAGACTGAAACGTGCTAAACATCACATATCTCATGCAAAAAAAAAAAGAAAACCCACAATTCTATAGGCTTCCAAATCCGGCTTTATCACTCCACTGTTATATGGAGGTGCATCGTATAAGCTGAAAGTAAAACCATTACACCTAAATAGCCACAAATTAGTGGTAAAACTGAAGTACTGGTACAGAATGTAAGTAACGCATTTATTGCTAGACTTACTAAATGGCCAAACTCTGGATTCTGATGCACCTTAAATAAAAATGTACTTACAGTTTTGTCAGTATTTTGTATCTGTTGTATGCCTTAGTGTTTTACTTTTCCCCTTTTCAAATAACACTGGCTTTTTCAGGTATCATACTGCATTCCTGGCTTCACTCCAAAAAGAACAATGATGGAAAGGTGTTAAGTCAAGCTACACTTGCCTCTCGAGATTTAAGTACTTTCTTATTCTTGACTGCAGGGGTAGATGGTAACTGGAGGCTCCGTGTTGGAGATGGTGAGCTATCTTTAATTATATCAAAACGAGTCAGTTGCTCCATGTAGTTTTAATCTTTTACTCTCTTACATTGGTCTGTCTGTTTTTATTGTGGGTACTATTTCACTATGCACCAGAAAACTCTTTGTTAACCTGAAAGATGACTCTAAAATTGACTGTGGGTGTGAGTGCGCATGGTTGTTTGTCTCTGTGTGGCCTCATGACGGATTGGCGAACTGTCCAGGGTGTACTGGGATAAGCCCCAGCCTTTCAAGCACCATATTATTGGAACAAATGAGTTTAGAAAATGCATGGATAGATGGATGGATAGCCCTTGAATACACACAGAAATGACACAATCCAATTTAGCTTCTGATACATTCTATTTAAATCTGACGATTGAATATCATCTGCAAAGAACACGAGGTTATCAGATCTCAGAAGCATACTTTGGATTTTGAGACACAGAGCGGTCCTAAACAGAGTCCATAGATATAGATGAGGACTCCAATCCAAATTTCAGGTTATATGTCATCACAAATATCATATTCCTGTAAAAGGATTCAGCTTGAAGGTAATAGAAAATGTGTCTCAAATCTAAAAGTGGATGTTGAAGTATCCATCCATCTATTTCTTATTCTCCTTAAATTACATGAGTTTTGTAGACATTGAGTCCTGTTTGCTGGGAGTAAAGCTCAGCCACAAAATCAGATTAAAATTAAGATGATTAACTTGGAAAATTTAACAACAAAGGGAATGCATAAGCTGTATGTTTGCACTGCTATGGGGCAGGCCTGTGGTCATGAGAGGCTCTCACTTATGTATGAGAGGATTGTGCTTTATCATGTAAAAAGCCAATTAACTGAGTTTTTAATTACATTTCTCGTGGTGTACTGTGCGAGGCCTCCAATCATCTCTGCAGACCATGCCACCTCCTCAGAATAGCTAAGCAGGAGGCTGAAGCTTGGGATTAAATCATCTGCAGGGTTTTTGGCGGAGGTGGAGATAACAAGACAGAGAAAGATGCATTCGCGAGTGGTCGGGCAAACCGCAGGACTCCCTGCCTGCTCTTTATCTTCACACATTTCCCACAATCCCCACCCTCTCCCAGCCATCCCTCCTCTCGCAACGACCGCAAAGTGAAACCTGAACCCTGGAATTAAACCTGCTTCATATCACCTCCCTCTGCCACCTCCCACCTCTCACGGTGTGGGAGGATGAGGTGAGAGGCAACAGGATCCCGGGCAGCGATACGTCAATCCGGTGCCATTCAGGCCTCAATAATGACAGCAGGCAAAGACGAGGATGAGCTCTGAGTCCCGGCAGTTTGCCGGGTTTGAGGTAGTACTGATGATAGCAGGGCCAGGCTGATTTGCTTAGAAACAAAAGAGGAGGAAGTTTACCGATTTCTCGTTTCCACATGTGGATGGAGACTGAAACCGTTGTTAGATGATGATGATAGTGGAAATGCATTCTTAAATCAACCGTAAATAGAATGAAGGTCAACAGCAAATTTAAACCGCACAGATTTAATTTAACTTTTTTCAGTTACAACTTAATACGATCTCATCAGATACAGTAAAATTCATTGTTATATGATATTGCAAACACAACATAGCAAAATACATTTCAGAATAACAATACAATAACAATAGTTCTTTTGCAACATGACGTTGTTACCTGTCACAAAATGATAAAATACATGTAATACAATAGATCACCTCTGAATTCCAAGGGATTCAGTTTAATATGTAGTGATAGTGGTGTATGAGGTACAGTGTAATGCAATACATTTAAATAGCTTTGTGCATGATACAAGACACCCTTTAGATTTATGTGAATTTAGGTCCAGCGCGACTTGCAAGGAAGAAAGCAGAATTGGCAATTTAGGAGGTTTCAATTTACCATAAACAATAAACAGTTCAATGTCCAGATAGAGCAGGTGAAAAGAGAAGAAAGTTTGTTGACAGAGTTTTCATAAGCTTCTCAAAGATGGAGGCTTCGTGGCATAACTTGTGTGATTAAACATGAAGGCGTACAATGCTAAATGACTATATGTAAAATTTAAATAAATCAGCCATGTTATTTTGACAACTGACAGTCAAAGTTATAAACTGTATGCAATTGCAAAGGCACCTAGAGGGGGGAGGGGACATAGGTGAGGCAACAAGTGAACATTCTGTACTTGAAGCTGATCCAAAGGCAGAAAAAAAGTGGGCAGGTGCAAGGACCTGAGTGACTGTGACAAAACATAGGTTGTGATGCTTGGAGAGCTTGGTCGTAGCATTCCACATCTGCAGCTTGTGCAGGACATTCCTGCTCTGCTGTGCTTCGGGGCTTACAGTGGTCCAAGAAAGGCAAAGCCCTGAACCAGAGATAGGATCGTAGAGCTTTTCCATTCACTGACCGTCATGTTGTCCGATCCAACAAAACATCTATTACAGATCAAATTACTGAGAAAAGTTATTACCGTGTACGGGTCCGTGCACCAGGATGCACCATGGGAAAAAGGCCAGTTCAGCGAGGAGACTGTGGGAGACCCTATAGCAATGAATCCTGCCAATGGCTCGAGGAAATGAGCAACTCGTCCGAGGTATCAAACTGACCTCCAACTAAATGAGACCGGACTTGATGAGTGGTTACAATGATGCAGGAAATAGGTATTTGGAAACATCCATCCATCCATTTTCTGAACCGCTTATTCCCAAATGGGTTCGCGGGGGGACTGGAGCCTATCCCAGCATTCAATGGGCGACTGGCAGGGTCACCCATGGTCTACGAGTCCATCGAAACACATGCAACTAATAACCAAGAAAGCTGTTTTTATTAAAATGGGTTTTTTTTGTTTGTTTTGTCAGACTGTTTCCTGCCAAAGAAACTGTGACCGTGCATATTCTTTCCAGGTAGTCTAGTACAATACACTGGTCCTGTTAAATGACACTTTCAATCTGTTATCATAAGTGTTAAATATGAAAAAAACAATGTACATGATTAAATATTGATCCAAAACAAGGAAAACTTTTGTATATTCCAGTGATGTCTTAGTTGCACTTGGGGAGTTTAGATATTTTAACTACATTGCTAAAATACTCTTCTTCACTTTTTTTTCTTTTTTGAGCTTGAATGATTAATAAGATTGCAAGTCAATATCTAAAGAAGAAGAGTCCAGATAATCGGGCACCTGCCAGCTTTTGTAAAGTGTGTTACTCTCTTTGTCCTTTATGAATGCATACACATTATGCTGCACCCAGTGACCTCCCTTGTGAACGTGACAGGGCAGCATACAGAGACACACAGAGCTGAACAGGTAATCACACACACAAACCTACAAAAGTCCAATCAGATTCTGAGCTCTGTCAGTTAACCAGCCCAGAGGGGTCTTCCACAAATGCTGGAAAAACTGGATTTTTACCATACATCATGTTACTTGCCCACCCCTTTCCAAGACACACACTCTAATGGACAAACACACGCACACACACACACACACGTAGACACGTGCTGAACATTCAGGTCAGAGGTGCAGCCTCACCAGGGAACATGGTAAGGTTAGAACACAGAGTTCAGTTCTGTGACAGGTGAAAGGCCTGAGGGCAAGTGAACTACAGCACCTAACTGCCTCAACCAGAGTCTCAACATACAACTTATTTTCACTGTCACCTCAGCCGTGTGAGACTTTATGTCAATAGTAACTCCACGTCTCCTTTGTCTACCGCAGTCTGTCGGTTCCGCCGAGCGTGGGTTAATTAACTGGGATGCAGACGTGCCTGTTCCCTCGTGTTCCGAAGAGACATCTCTCGTCTCGGGCGATTTTCACAGAGAATATATACACTGTGAGCAATATTAGTAAGCAAACCTCTCAGGGATTGATTTTACTGTTGAATAAATCAATTTCTCTGAGTTATACCAAAATGTGACTGAACTCAAACCTGAATGTTTTACAGAGGAAAGGCACAATTTTTACTTCCCCTAGGAATAGGGGAAGTGTTTATATACATATGTGTGTGCGTGTGTGTGTGTGTGTGCGTGTGTGTGTGCGTGAATGCCCCTGGTGCCCCTGGGAAAAATGGAATATAAAGATGTTACAAATGATGTCTCAAATGCTGCAGTGGTAGCTGAATGATTCCACGACAAAGAAGTCTCGCAGAAGTCTTGCCGGTTTAAAAAAACATTTGTTGTGTTGTGTGCTTCATGGGACCAGCACCACTCCCTCAGGGTTTGTGTTCAAACAAGCCATGGACATGATGAGAAGTGTCCTTTAAGATGGGGGATTTAAGATGTGTCGGTAGTGGGTTTGGGTGGTTCCCCAGTCCGTCTTCAACCCACACCAGCTGGCCTCCTCCTCCCTTAAAGTGCCTCACCCGTCCATAAGAGATCCAACACGGGTCCATTTATCTGCCTTTTTATCTGTTCAGAACGCTTTTCAAACCTTTGTCCACAGTTATTTATTAGTCCAAAATGTGATGCTGGTGGTGGCCATGCCTCAGATCGCCTGCCACCTTGTTCCTCTGGACGGTCCAGGTTTGGACGGTCTGGACGGTCCAGGTTTGGAAGATCTGGACTGTCGTGTCGCACACGGGAGTTCATTTGTCTTCATTTGTTATTTCCATCCTTTAATGGCTCTTGCTTTTAACCTCTGTCAAGAGTGTTGCCTCCTTCTAAAAGGTACTTTACAAATTTAGTCTTTGTTTAACCTGAAGTTACATTGGATTATGAAATAGTGTTCATCTTTATCTGGATACTGAAAATGACTGAACCAAAAAAAAAAGCCATTGTTGGATCTGACAGCTGCTTTTCTCATAATACTAACAACAAATTCAACCTGCAGCTTGGATGAATGTGTCCACAACTCAAATTTCTATGAAGATAATTTGAACTTCTCTTAAACATCTGCTGTTAAATTGATAAATTTATGGGTTTTCATATTTCAGAAATCGGGGAAAAGATATTAGCATGTGAAGAAAAACGTATTTCTAATGATTTACAATTTAAATATTTGTGATATTCATAATAATACATCTTTTCCAAGATGTTTTGCAGCATATCACAACAAATGTAGTGGATCACAACTGTGTCCAGCCTGGTCGCAGCAAACCCGCCAATCCCCAGAGCTGTCCGGGCGTGTGAGGAGGGAACATGAAGGCCTCATCCTTACAGGACAGAGTCACCGTGCTGACAACCTTGACGCTGGTTGCCAAGATACAGGCGCTCTCTTCAGACTAGCTGACCCCTGCCATGGAGGCCTCATCCTGATGATTTCTGTAGATTTTTTTTTTTCATATTTTGTGAAGGGGCCAAATAAAGACTAAAAACAATTTCTCTCTATTTTTTCTTGGATCAAGCTTTAAAGGGTTCATCATGAAAAATAAATAAAAAATAGAATTTTTTGCTCAAAATAGAACCCAGAGAGACCTTTTACCATTTCGCCCTCTTTGAATTTGATGACCTGTTTACCTCTGACTCACATTCCCTTTTCTTTTAATAATGGTCAGTGAACATGTAAGAACTGGGGAAATCCAATATTTTATTGATCAGATTACATTTTTTTGTGATGCACAACATTTTTTCAATAGGGAAAAACCTTTGGACTGAGGGCAGGTCAGTCATCCACCCAAACTATTCCACAGTGAATCCATGTCGTCGACATGTGGGCAGTCAGGTCTGATGGTTTGTATTTTCTTTGGTCCAGAGGATTCAGAGTCTGTAATTAAACATGCAAACAATATTTTTTGCATTGTATCACAGAACTGTCATCTACTCTGACTCGGTCCACTTTAAATAAGGTTTTGTCCAGATGGGATGGCAGTATTTCTGAATCATGCTCAAATTTCGCTCCTTTCTTTTTCCTGAGCTGGACTTGTGAATTCGGCTGTTCACAGACAATCGTTTCTGGAGGAGTTCCTGAGCCCATGCAGTGGCTTGCATGAAAGATTCATGTCTGTTTTTAATGCAGTGCCGCCTTAGGATGTGAAGATCACAGGAATTCAATAATGAGTTTTGATCTTGTGCACAAAAACATCCCCAGATTGTCAGAATGAGAAGCCATAGAACAAAGTTCATAATATCCAATTGTGAACAAAATATTGATGATATTTGCAAATGATTGCCCTCTGTTATTATTTACACTTTTCCACAGTTTCCTAACTTTTTGGAACTGGGTTGGAGAATCAACAGAGCATTTCGTCGTAAATTTCAAGACATTACAACTGCTTACAGTAATAAAACCATTTGAGATAAAGATAACCTATTAACTACCATTTAGTGAGATGGGCTTATAGTGATCTAAACACTGACTGATGCCAGTCTGGCACTAAAATCTAAAGAACAAGTCACAGTTCTGTGAATTCTCCACATGCAGAGAAAAAACCCTTGTTTTTTCTTTTATTTTTTAAGTTATATTAGTGCCAATCAGTGAGAATTATGACAACAGTTTCCAAAACAAGTGATTCTTTGGATACTAAGAATGAAATTGTCCGCAGTTTGACTCATCCAGAAACAAAACTGTACCGGTACCTTTGTTTTATCTGTCTCTCATGGCGATTGAATTTTACATGAGGATAATAAGGGCCCCCTTCTCTGTCTCCTCATTCTTCAGCCTGCTGTGATATGTGTGAGTGATGCGGCAGAAAACGGGCCGAGACAAAGCCGGTTAACCAGCGGGGAGGGTGAGTGGGGTCGGTGGGGGTCGCCAGTGCCGGGGTCGTGGGATCAGAGTGGGCCGTGGAGGTGTGGGAGTGTCTGCTCGGCCCTCTGACCTTTTTCACTGAGGCTTCCTATAATCCTGTCCTCAAAGACCGTATGGACATAATAGAGAGTGCATGAATGGAGTTAAACGGTGACCATTAGGAAGATCTGTGTCGCTATTCTTCCTGTTTGTTTAGTCCTGGTCAGGCTCACGTTTATGGTGTAATCGGGCATGTGATGGAGGAATGGCTGGAGACGCCTGAAGAGAACAACAGTTTTCTTGAGAAGGATATCCACCGAAATTTAAAGAAGGGTAGTGATAGAAGGTCTGCTGAAGACCATCTGGGTCCAGTTTACAAATGATGGACGCAGATAGAGGACAGCACACTGCTTCTTAAAGGTGTTTTCCGGGCAAAAGCAGCTAGTAACAGTCACAATGACCACGCCATTTAAACTCCAACTGAACAGCAGTGACATTTCTAAATGACAATATTATTTTGTATCCGTGAAAAATAGTGGAGTCGTAAAAAAAATCTCACTTTTACTGAAAACGTGTCTTTTTAAGTGATTTTCAGGGTCTCACTGTGAAATCATCCCTTACGAAGCATTTACAAATTGAAACCGATGGTACCGTTACAGGTTCTTATAGCTAACAGACCAGCTGAAACAACCCCCCCCCCTTCTCATTAGCAGTCAATGGTTTTGTAGTAACACAGTTTATTTAACTTTTCACAGCATTTAATGAGGATTTTGTCATGTATTTACAGACATAAAGAAGAGTTCTGTCATTTCCTTTTGAACCTTTTCAGGAGCATGAGGTCATTGTCAAAGACTTAGTTGTGCTGTGTGTCTACTAATTACTCCTATTTATAAAAGAAGTGGTTGTTCAAAATGGGGACATTGGAAAGACCGTTCAAAGATAAGTTTGAGTTGTAGCGCAGGGATGGATTAGCTGGAGTAGACTGCCACCTAGCGCCGGATAGAGGAACCGAGGGGTGTTTCTTATAATCCTCTGGATTTTGGATTTCTGACACAATACAATTTATTAAAAAAATAGAAAAGGCCAATGAATCAGTTCAATAAATAGATAAATAATTCATCTCAATTTTTAGAGGCTTTTCATCTTTAATGTTGTATACAAAATATTTTAGTTTTTTAAAAACTGTTTTAGTCATTCAATGCTGCTTCAGTTCTCTAAAAACGTCTTAAATGTCTTATTTCCTTATTTTCCCTCGTTGATTTACTAAGGATATTGATAAATAATCTAATAATCCACATAAATCCACATAAGCGATAAGTGGGGAGTGATATCTTTGTGCAGAACAGCAGCAGATGTTTACAGTATCTTGGAGGCTTGGGAGAATATTAGTTCTCTTTTCTTTTGTGCGATTAAAAATATTTTTTTCTTCATAATGGAAAACTGTCCTGATTGGGATGCATGGAAATGGGCACACCACCACCATGTCTCTTTTTCTAAAATCCCAATTTGATTGAATTCACATACTGTCATCGCCTAAAAAACCTCCCCAGAAACCTAGATAATCTGATATTTTTTCTACATATATGTGTGCAATTATGGTAGTTTTCATTAAAAAATGAACAGCCATCTATCTTTATACTGGTCGACCATGCAACAATTCTTATTGGAATAAATACTCATGTCCTGTCCTGCCCTGTAATAACTAAAGCATCCCACTCAGCTAGAGCCAAACAGTCTATGAATCTATACAATAAAAATGCATAATAAAAAAGACAAATACCCTCTTATGTTTATGTTGACTGGGGAACTTAGGCCGCATAGTTGCTCAGTTATACGACCATCTTTATTTTCTTTTTTGATGATGGACGATAAATTAGGAGGTTCAAAGAGGCGCTTTAATGTGTTATTACCCTGACTCCAGCTCTGTGGGCCCCCAGGCTCTCTGCGTGCTGGGGCAGGGAGGCCCTCAGTGGGTGTGCACCTCCCGGTGTATTTAAGCGCGACCCTCTCACACGCTGAGCCTCAGTCTTCAGTCTCTTACGCATCATTTGGCAACATGGACCCTGAAACGACAGCAGCCCTGGGCTCGGTGGAAAACCCGATCAAATTTCGGGGCCAGGACTTCAAAAGTCTCTTTGAAAAGTGTCTGCAGTCCGGTGAGCTGTTTTCTGACCCGACCTTTGAGGCCGAACAGGCGTCCATCGGCATGCCCCAAGACCCGGATCCAAAGAAAGCAGTTGCGTGGAAACGACCGAAGGTGTGACGTCTACACGGTTGCTGTGCATGCTCCTAAATGTCTTTACTACAGAGGCTTGATAAACTGTAATTAAGCTATAACATTTAATTTGACCATCAAGAACTGTACAGACTTTTGCTATTGGCAATCCGTGCCAATGAGCAGCTTCACAAAAAAAAAAAGGAAAGAAAATTTCAGTGTATTTTTGCCACTGCCTTTGAGGTCCAGAGATATTAGTGATTTATGGAAATGTGGCTCCAATCTGACAAGCCAAGCACTGCAAGGAAAGCTGCAGACACATGGTGACAGCTGTGTGTAAAGATGATATACGGATGAAAATGGCAAAAATTCAACGTTTCGGTACAAAAAACTTAAGCCGTGAATGTTGTTATATCTTAACTGAAGATGGATCTTTTAAAAAACTCAAATTTATCCTCCAAATCAGTTACAAACATTCAAATATCTTAAACAGACGTGTAAGATTATTCTGAAATATTTGAATTGTTCCAGTCTAATTGAATTATTCATATTAAAGGCAAAATGTACAAATATCCATCCGCTGTTCCCTAAATAATAAGCGAGAGAATCAAATGTTCAACACTATCTGTGCTCTAACTCATATCGACGTCTTTCATTCCTGAAGGAAATTAACAAGAACGCCGTGTTTGTGGAGGAGTCGACTGAGACCACTGACATCTGCCAGGGCCAACTGGGTGAGTAAAAGAGAAGAAAAGCCTTTTTTTCTCCTGCCTGCTGAATCTGTTTTACCCAAAGATAATTATTGAAACTGGGGTATCTCACGCTGTACAGTCTTTTTATTTGGTGTTGGGCAACATCTGGAAGATTTCAGTGAATTGTCAAATGCAGAGAGACTCCTCCACATCACCGAGTTGGTCGTTTTCTTTGAAGACAGGACAGTAGCTTACGAAATAGTCAGCACACAGCTGCAGAGACATAACTCTAAGCAGACTTTGGGGGAAGAAGAAGTGACACCCCACAAGTGGCCCCCAAGTCTCCAACATGCTGGGGGTCCTCCCAGTGCTCTTTATTAACCACAGACACCACTCGAATCTGCTTTCTGTTTTTGTGGTTAACTACCCAACGGTTCATCTCTTTCTTCTGGAATTCCTGACGTTTGTGCCACCATTAATACTAATTGCTTCTCATCTTCCCTCACCCGTTTGTTCTATGTCTGAGCTCTTAAAACTTTCAATGCCAAGATGTGTTTTATGTGATTTATAAAGATACGGATTTATGTTGTTTCAGAGAAAAAATGCAGTCCAGATGTTTGCTGTTGAGCTAGAATGCATTCATTTACTTACACACATGCATTGGCGTGTGTGTGTGGGTGTGGGTGTGTGTGCGAGCAGTAAACACCAATCAAAGGGATTTCACAAGAAGCCTTAAACCTGAAATATGCATTGTTTTGTGTGACTCTTTGGAGGTACATGTGCTTCTTTTATCCGTCAGGTAACTGCTGGCTGCTGGCGGCCCTGTCCTGTCTGACCCAACACCCGCAGCTCTTCGTTAGGGTGGTGCCTCCCGACCAGAGCCTGGACAAGCCTTATGCGGGGATCTTTCGTTTTAGGGTGAGCAAAGCCTCACTTACTTATCATTTCCTGATAATGAGGAAAAATGCTTTTCATCACGACACACAGCACTCCTCCCCATTTCTACATGTCTAAAATTTTAGCCCATATTCAATGGGACATAAAAGCTATCAATAACAGCAAACCAAAGCAGTGTGACAACAGAATGAGTTAATTTTCTTTTGATGGTAAATATCAGCTGTGAAATCTTTTTCAACACATCTGAGCATGTGTAACACACAGTTATTCCACTCTGAAACCCTGACAAACACACAATGAACAACAGTTTCCAAACAGTTTAGTGACAGATGAATAAATGCTTCTCAGATTTGTGACCAGTCTTGACAGATGAGTCACCGTTATGAGGAAAACAAAGTGTGACTTCTGACGTGATCCAGAAACTTCTTAGGGGTTCATATAAGCAGATTGCAGGCCGATGTCTTTTTTAAGATAAACTTTTTTTTCTACGGACAACAGCAGCCACATTCTGAACGTACCAGGACAGAATGATATGGTTTTTAAATTCCAGGTGTTGACTGCGTTCCTCACCTGTCCACTTTGGGCTTTTGCCCTATTATTAAAAAAGAAATACAACCAATAAGACCCATGTTGAAAGATGTAATTCTATGTCCATTCATTATCAAGTCAGAAATTGAAAACTTGTCATTATCATACAGTACTCCACTCTAACCTAAAGATAAGCTTTGACTATAGACATATTTTGGCTTTTGTAACCTGCAGTGCAACCTGACCCAAAGCAATTTGCAAGCCTAGAACTAGCAGAATATCAAAATATCAATGAACTATTTTTTTTCTAACCTTTATAACTTCCCAGATTATTCTTTTTCTTTTCCATACTTGTTGAAACGTGGATGAACATTATCATCTGTTCAGTTCCACACTAAGACACAAATACCTAAATGTCTAAATGTGAGGAACGACCTAACATTAATAATGCCTTCTCTAATTATCCCTCATAAAGTAGCAGGCGGTTTTCCAGGTATGCTGTTGATGGAAATAAAAACAATAGAAAGTGTGTTTGTAAAAGTGAGTCACCCTTGTTCTTTTCATGTTACAAACGGTGGATTGTCCTCACTAATTTATGTTTTATCTCCTTTGGCTTCATCTTACCTGTCTGTCTCAATGAAATGCCTGTAATTTAGCTGTGGGCCACAGCCCTGATTATCACTAAAGGCAGCTGCTTCAAACAGGTGTCAACCCCTCCTGGTTTTGACTCAAAGGAGAAAAACATGCACTTAATTTTTATCGCCTCTTGGTTGATTTGAGTCTAATGAGTTCATTGTTTGCTGATTTGAATCTGCCTAGATCAATAAAATGTTCTCTCATCAGACATCAAACTTACAAAAGCAAAAACAGACAACTTTATGATTTTTATTGCCTGGAGGTTTGAGGAGAATGTGGCGTGACTAAACAAGCAGAAGGGAGAGGGACTGGAAACTCATTTTCCTTTGTGAGGGAGGTGGGAGAGCGGCCCGGACACGCAGAGAGTGACGACCTGACTCACATGGACACACACTTTCACAGTCACGCTTCGGTAGCCTCAGAGGACCTAGGGCCCAATCAGATCATTTACAGGGGTTTTAATCTAACCTTAGTTCTAAATACTACTTGATCAGCCCTGAACTCCTTAAGTGAAACGTGTCATTGCCATAAAACTCAATGACTGACATGATGAAAAACCGAATTATGTCCTTACAACCTCATTATTACATAGGCACGCTCACAAACACACACAGACCAACAGCTATGAAAGACCAGTGCAGGCCTGCCCTCAGCAGCTGGTTTGAATGGTACATTAAAACTGTCATGACCATTAGCAAACTTGGATTCAAGCATGTTCTATCAAATATTTCTAAGATGAACTGTCTAGTTGATGTTTCGCTTCTGGTGCCAGAAGTGTTTGTTTGATGCTTTCAAATACTAGAAGAGTTTTAAGAACAATTCTCTGATCATGAAGGAGAGAGGGCAGCAGACACAGGATTTTTCTCTATTTTCAACAACAAAAAGGCAATTTATAGTTATTTCCTTCGCCTGAGATTCAAACCAGGAAGAAACACAAAAAGAATTCTTAAAAGTTTGAGAATATAATAAATTGGACCTGCCTTTATCCCTTGATAACTTTGTAAACAGTTTTGGAAAACATGTGATGGCTCACTGAACAACCCTTGTGGAGTACATTTCTACATATAATAAGATATACAGCTTGTTCTTAAACTCAGTCTGGTAAAAGGTCACTTGTCTGTAATTTTCTTTGGGAGGGGCAGAATAAAAATAACTAGTAGCAGTACCTTTAAGGGAAGGATTGGGGTCACAGTTTTTAGGGTCACACTCCCTCTTCCTCCTGGTTTTATTTCTCCCTGACTCATCACATCCAGTCCTCCTCTCATCGTGTCCCTCTTCCTGTGGCTGTCTCTCTTCTTCTGTGCAGTTCTGGCAGTATGGTGAGTGGGTGGAGGTGGTGGTGGACGACAGGCTGCCAGTACGTGAAGGCCGTCTGCTCTTCGGCTATTCTCGCACTTGCAACGAGTTTTGGAGCGCCCTGGTGGAGAAGGCCTATGCCAAGTCAGTTGCCACTACCAGCATATGTCTCTGGGTTGTAATGTCTGAGATCACCCACTCGCATCCTGTGAGCGCTTGTGTCAAAACTGTTCCGCTCAGATGTACGGCTTCAAGATACAAATGTGTCATCTCTAATGCAGGTTAATGGGATCCTATGGAAGCCTGAAGGGGGGCAATATATCAGAGGGCATGGAGGACTTCACGGGGGGGATTGCATACTCTCTCCCCGTCTCATCTCACACGCCTAATGTCCTGTGGAGGTCTCTGAATGCGGCCCTGTCCAGGGGCAGCCTCCTCACCTGCTTCATCCAGGTCCGTTCATGTTGAGATGGGAACGCCAGGCTGGCGGATGTAAAATACCAACAAAGGACCCACCTGAGCATCTCTCCATGTCCCCGCAGGCCAAGAGTTATAATGAGGTCGGTACGGTGACCGGAGACGGGCTGATAAAGGGCCACGCCTACGCCATCACGGACACCGACAAGGCCAGTGGGACACGGCTGACCGCTGTCGTTGTCATGTTTTGATGTTTCTCTGTAACTTTTATTAGTCTTGTTTTATGTTTATGTCACGTCAAATCACATCAATTAGATGCTAGCTTTTCTTCTTTTATCATATATATATATATATACAGTATATATATATATATATATATATATAAAAGTTAGACTGGGAGAAGGAGGCCCTTTTTTATGGAAATTTATTTGATCCTTTTGTCTTATACAAAGCAAGTAAATCTATATGTGAACCAGGAAACAGCGGAAAACCTGGAGCACCAGACAGATATATATATAATGAATATCATTCTTATATGAGACAGGACTAGCTAAGAGGATGTTCTATTTAACGATAACTCTACCCCAAATATTGTAACGTGTCTTTATGTTTTAGGTAAAGCAAGAGTCGAAGGAGATATTGCTTTACAGGCTGAGGAACCCCTGGGGATTCCTCGAGTATAAAGGGCCATGGAGTGATAAGTCAGTATGATGTCACAGCATGTACACACACACACAGATTATAAAACCTACTCTGACTGAGTTTTTCTTTGTGTGTGCAGTGGTAAAGAGTGGGCCAGCTTGGACCAGTCAGAGAAGGAGAGGATTGAGCTGAAATCAAAAGACGACGGAGAGTTCTGGTACTGAGGACATTTGAAAAGCTGCATTAAATTAAATTGAAAGGTCTGATGTTAGATGTTGACCCACCAGGATCAGCGCTGATGACTTCAGTCGCCTCTTTGGTGTCGTGGAGCTCTGCAGCGTGAACCCTGAAACCCACGAGGATGCGGGCACGTCGGCTGCCAGCTCGACCTGGACCATCAGCGAGCACAAAGGATCCTGGGTACCGGGAAGCACTTCTGGAGGCAGCCGCAGATACAACAGTATGTTTCCGACTTCCCGTATTCTCTCCTTCCCACGTGGGCCCTGCTGGGATCTTCACTGTTGGGATGCTTGACTTTTCTCCACAGAAACATTCTGGAAAAATCCCCAGTTCCAGCTAGTACTCAACGAAAAGGACCAGGATGATCAGGATGATGATGTTGATGAGGATGATGACGATGATGATGATGATGACTATGAGGATGGTGATAGTGAGGGAGCTGCCCCAGTGAACAAGAAAGCTGAGAAAGAGAAGACGAAAGCCAAAAAATGCACAGTGCTGGTGGAGCTGCTGCAGAAAAACCGCCGCCAGAGGGATAAAATCCACTTCCTCTACATAGGGTTTCACATTTACAAGGTGGGGACTTTGTCTAGTGATTGTGTCTCTTTATGCAGTGCAAATAAACTCAGGCCCTTTTTTGCTCTCTCATTTCTCTAGGTTCCATCTGAGGTGAGTTTCTAATGATGACAGATTATTGATATTCGTATGAACAAATACCTAAACCATTACACGGTTTCTCCTCATAGTTGGAGGGAACATGTCTGGATCGCAGCTTCTTTTTGAAAAATCGCCCAGTGGGGCGTTCTGGAAAATACAGGGCTCAAAGGTAACACACCAATCTGAGAGGAAGTAAGCTTGCTTACTTTTTTTTAGATGTTATCGATGTATTATAACCATGAAATTAAATGCAATATACATTAAAGTCCACTGTCCACATGAACTTATTAAATTTAAATTTTAGTCTCACTATCCAGGAAAATAGTCAAAAGATATGATTGAATCCATATATTTAAAGTCAGTTATATCAATGTGAACATTTTAATTAATATATCTGTTGCTGAGGGTCTATCTTATGATCTTATGATGTTACTCAAGACTTTGTACTACATTTCATTGTACATAAGTTTAGTTTACTCATTCAAAACTTGATACTAACTAACTAATTAATCAATATTGATTTAACTGAATAATGGTTGTCCAACAGAGCCGTGTGGAGGGTACTCCGTCTGGATCCAGGTAACTACATCATTGTGGGATCCAGCTACCGACCCAACCAGCCCGGAGATTTCTTCATTCGCATTTTCTCCAAGACTAGAGACGCTTTGGGGTGAGATGGAGGATATGTGGCTTTGGTGGCTTAAATGATGCTGAAGCAGGGCAAAAGAATCTATTTCAACAACTGGTTTACTGGAGAACAGAAGTTTAGTTAGACTTACAAGCCATTGTTTAGTGTGTTTAAGTGCATCTCATAGAATATTTGGAAGACATAAGGCCACAACATTAAGTGAGACCTCACACTCCTGCTGTCAACAGCCCAAATTCTCCTGTATCCACAATCGTACTGAGACTGTGTTCCCAAGGTTATACTTCTCAAAAATAAGGCTGCAATGAATAGTGAATACTCTTTGGATTGATAAGATATTATCTGCAAAAAAGCTGTGAACTGCCCTGCAACAAATTTGTGTTCAGAATCCAAGTTAAATGTAGTATTTCTTTAAAAGGTCATGTTCAGTTCAGCTTTAGTTATTTTCTTAACTGAATCACATCAACGGATTTAAGAAAGATAAGACACACCTTTACAATGCAGGATAACAATTTATCATGCACTCCAGTTAATGTGCTTAATGACTGTTTTTAGTGACAGAAATAGGAATCTGTCTGTAGAGACTTTTTCATAATTTCATTATAAGATTGTTCTTTTCATTTAGCTGCAGGTTCCTGATATTTTCATTATTGTTACATTTTAGCAAAACATGTTCAACTGAGGAATTATTCGAATCATGAAAGATTTTTAACGTACCACTTGGTTTATATTCTGTTTAATAGGACTCAGGACTTCATCTGCTCTTCTAGTTACCTCACCGTAAGTTCACAGGCACCAAATAGTATTAACATTGGTGAGTATATGTCCATTTACATGTACATTGTTTTTGTCTTTCAGGTTATGGCCACTCCTGTCCCCCCTGAGGACCAAATGAAAGTTCAGAAGACTTTTGACGACAAAGCTGGCTCAGTAAGAACGTTTACTTTCATGTTTTTACAGTAAAACCGTTCCGAGCTTTTAAATAAACTGTTTTTTTTTGTTTGTTTTTTCTGTGAGCAGGATGACAGGCTGGACGCCAAAGAGATCCTGAATCTGTTTAACTCAGGTTAGACTGTCCACAATATGATATATCTAACAGCCAGTTATGACAGTGTCATGCACAGGCAGACAGTTTTCAATTGTAGCACCTTTATAAGCCACTAGATGGGAGCAAAATAGAAGCATGGTCCTAAAGAAGCAGCAGCAGTGAAGATACAGAGGTCACTAGTCTAGACAGAAGCTCATAGCTGCCGTCAGTCGGTAAATTGAACTTGGTCGAGTAATAAGAGTGACAGCACTTGTCCTCACCTTCACCCTTCTATAGTTAAATCCAATTTAAACCCAATTTAAACCCTCATTTTCAGGCCGCGAATTGTCTGAATTCCTTCTGCTCTCATCACAGTGCTTGACAAAGATTACCATCTGCCTCTGGAGACGTGCAGACAGATCATCTTTTCACAGGATGTATCCTTTTTTTCTGGATATTCTTAAGGGTAGCACTCATTTTAGTTACCCTCCGCCTCAGCGGAATTCTTACTGCACTCTTGTTTCTGAATTTGACACATTTTTTTAATGAATAAATAAACACCTACTGTTAAAAATCTGAGTGGTTTCACACTCTCTGGGGACACATGGATGCTTTCCTGTGCTCCAGGCCCAACTCTGCTCTCCTTCTCTCTGTGTATATGTCTTTTTTTGCCCTGTTGAGACATCCTGAACTGCACCGGCAGACTGAGCTCCGCTGCACGCTCAGCCGTGAGCAGGCAGAAAAACTGCTGTCCACTCTGCGTAATTTGCAGGTGCGTGCGGTCAGATCCGCCTGTGTCGGTGCAAAGAATCCCTCTCACCGATGCTTTTCTGTTTCAGTCCATCTTTTTTAAGTTTGACGAGGATTCTTCCGGGACCATGAGCCCCTTTGAGCTCAGCAGAGCACTGGAAGCAGCTGGTATGCATGGACGCCTACAAAACACACAGCTGGCCTCACACGTTTTGTCCATTCATCTGTTTCTCTGTTTCTCAGGAATGCAGTGTGATAACAAAGTAGTTCAGCTCCTGTCTGAGCGCTTTGCAGCTGGACAACTTCACATGTCCTTTCACCACTTTGTGACATGTGTCACCAGGCTGCAGAAGCTTTTCGGTAACACACACTAACACACACTCGTCAGTGGCAATGAAAATGACCTAAAACGACTTCCCCTGAAGGTGTCATGTGGTATCAGACATCCACATGTTAGAAGCAGATTGCGTCTTGTTTCTATTGGTGGTGACATCAGTTTTTGAGTTCTGTGCAAAACTAAAAAGGGCTTCAGCAGTAAAAAATAACATTACATTTTCAGATAAGGGAAACAAAAAGAGAAGCCTAATGCACAATTTTTTGGTGTGCGGATATAATTAGTATTTTGGGATTTGCGTGGGGGGATGTAATGTAGGCGTGAGCCAATATTCTGGACTCTAAAAATTAGTCCCGGGTAATGCGGCAGAATGCTTTTTAAAAATTATTTACAGTCCAATTAAGCATACGAGATTTATTTTATGACCATTTAAAGGCCTTAGCCAGACAATGGACCCACTACACTGGAAGTGTAATGTTGATTATGTGCTTCACTGTAACACAATCACTTTATGTGCATAAAATATAGTTTATTTTGTAAAAATTCTTAGCTATTTCTCTTTTTTATTCAGTTTAATACTTTTTTACTGACTCTGTTATGGACTTGCCCCCAAACAAAATCAACTGATTTTGTTGTGTTGTGTCATTGTGTTGAAATGAAAGTAGAACACTTATTAACACTTAGAACACAATAAGAATACCTTCATAATTCACTTTTTGAGCAACAGTTTTAACAACTATGTCTTTGCTCATAACACTCCTTTATAATTTTGCAATGTTGTTTGCTTAGCAGGCTGTCATAAAGATTTGCATTTCAAGCTGTTTCCTTAAGACCGTCGTATCATCATAGCTCGCGATAAAAGTGCTGTCAACCAGCAGACTTTATGACATATGTTTGACAGTTTGCAGTTATTTTCTTCTCTCGTCTTTCCAGCTCTGTATGAATCAGAGAGCAGTCAAGAGGTGAAAGACAGAGGGATCAATTCTGTGAGTATCAGGACAGAAATGCTCTGTTATGTATTCAGACTGACCCAAACTGCAGCAGGCTCCAACCCTCTCTCTGATCTCCCGGTGCTCCTCCACAGTGGCTGCTTCAGTTTCTGGCGGTGTGAAATCGATGAGCATTTCCGAACGGGCCGAGATGTTCCACGAGTGATATCACCGCATTTGTTAAGAGAATCTTAGTTTAAATATGCTCTTCTTTGCTTCATTATCATTTCTTTCTTGCTTGATTCTACATGTCACAGATGCGGAAATGGGTTCTATAATGACATAAACTAAAATATGGTAAATGTTAGCATTTTTTTTATAGATTCCAGGTTTGATTCAGATGGGGTTTTTACCCATACATCTACACAATTTTGTAAAACTATATAACAAACTCAAGTTTATGGAGATTGTAATATGAAAAATGTTAAACATGAGACAACATATACCACTGACAGAGAAAACATATTATTCTGACACAACTAAGGTAATTAATCATTAGTAGTTGTGTCTGACTGAACTGAGAACATGCAGAACACATCAGTCTGAATAAGTTGACGGTGGTGGTCTATGTGAAAACTGTGCATTGAAGCCCTTACTGCTGAACATGGAAGAAGTTTGGAACCATCACCGTATTTGACTGTAATGGTGGCATCAACCGTCATTACAGACAAACACAGTAATTCCTTGAAGCGTCTCTCAGCTGCGCTGCTCTTCTCTGACACAGAGTGAGAGACCGATCAAGATAGAAAGAATACTTTAGTCATCCCCGAAGGGAAATTTGGTAAAAATGAAGATGGATGTCAAAAAATAAAGAGCAATCATGGATTATGTGATATGTCTATATATATGTGAAATGTTTTTAATTGGTTGATGGCTGTGCAAACAGCAAAGACAAATATATGAACGGTATAAAAAGAACTGCTTAGCTCCAATCTACACTGTCCTCAGGTTTAAAAAAGGCTCCATGAGGCTAAAAAATGCAACAGTTTAGAAAAGCATCAACAATCCTGGCTTTGTCTGCATTCTGCAACAGATCAACATATAGTTTATATATTATGTTGTACAATCTGAGTAAAGCTGGTCTGGAGGGGGGGATACAGATTTATAGATGGAGCTTTGTTTATTGCAGCTTTTCTTAAACAGTCTTTGGGTGCCAAAAACAACGCAGGAGCCAGTTTTGTGCCGGAAAATGAGATTTCTTTTTGTACTGGTTTCCTTGTCAAATGCCACATTAAAAAGCCTTCTGACACATTCACTGTTGCTATCTTTACTCACGGCTGCATTTACAGATTATTTCCCCAACTGAGGAAATAGAACACAATCAAAACTAACACTGACAAACTAAATCAGAAGAAAAAATTTCCTTCACAATTCTGATGAAATAGATTTGTTTTAAATTACATTTTTGGGGCCTTTTGTTTTCATTTAATTTTTTATTGAATGCTTTAATATTTAGTTTAAGAATGAATGAAATTAGTTCCAAAAGATTATCCATTTCTAAAGATTTGAATGAAATGAATTACATAACTCCAATGACAGGACTATAAAAAAAATAATTCCAACCTCAACGGTTTTTACTCATGCCATCACACATTAACATATTCTAGGAAATATCTGGGAATATACAAGCCCTCGTTGACACACACATTCAGATTGAGTCCTGGCTGCCCTACTGAGGGTGTGAGGGTGATGTCTCAGCTATACGCACCATCTCTATTCTTATCGCACTGACGCCACGTACAGCGTCAACACACGCTCGCCCCCTCCTCCACTACATTCCCTCACTCCCTCCATCCATCCTGCTACTCTTTCTCCCCCTCCTGTTCTCTCTAGTAACTGTCTGAGTCTCACAATCTGCATCCTCCTCCTCCTCCCTGTTACATGCTGGCTGCTTTCTCTCTCAGTCACACAGGTGCCCGTGTTCGCACACATCCACAAGCAGCAAATGTCCTCTCTACACATGCTGCTATTAATAGCGCATTTACTCACACACACACACCACTTCCTGTTCATCATTAGGTGAGTACACACAGGTTGCCGTCAGCAACCGTCAGTCTGCATTGTGATAGAGCAGAAGACAAAGGGAAAGGAGAGAAAAGAAGTACTCTCACTGTCTGGCCTCCTCTTAACATCAATTATTTATTTAGTTCAATTTATTTTGTTTTTGTTTTTCTTTCTGGAAACCTTGTGCTTCATCTCATTTATGTGTCCGTGGCCTTTTAGTGTGAAATGAGTCATGTTTTAAACTCACAGCTATTGCAGGGGATGTGTCTCTATTCTATTATTTACTAAATGATTTTTCGCTAAATTTTATCATAGCTGCTGCCACTTTTCTTGCCAGTATTTATCATAAACCAAAGTGCTTGACCAATTCGTACTAGTTGGTAGGAAAACAAGAATTGTTCAGTGTTCCCATACTACACCAGACACAGAGACACACAACTACACACACAGAGTTCTATGGGCAATAAAGACCCATCCAGTAACCTAACATGTATATTTTTGTTCTGTGTGAGGATGCCAGAGTTCCCATAAAGAAACCACAAATACATGAGAAGAACATGCAAAATACACACAAAAAGTCCCCCCGGGAACTGTTTTCCTGTGAGGTGCTAATGCTAACCACCACACGGTGCAAACCCATATTTTAATGCACGAAAAGAAAAATAATAGGAGCACCCTACGATAGTCATTTAAATGCAAGAAAAATCAATGCCACAGCGCTATGTCCTTTAGAAACTTCAGGTGTTTAAATAGATTTTACCGCTGTGTACATTTTCTGTGAGTTCTGGGAAACAATGTCCTTGCAATGTCTTTTCTATCTTTGGAAAAAAAAAAAAAAAAAAAAAAAATCTATCCAAACAAAATTAAAGTTGAAAAACCCAATCCAAACATTGTAATCACTATTCAAGTCTCTACGTGTCTACTATACATTCTAATAGAGCTCTAAGAGTTCATTAAAATTACATGAAATATTGTATAACAATACAGTATTACTATATAATCACTGAATGTCAGTTTCTACAGAAGCATCCAGTTTTTGTTTTCAGTGCTTAAACGTGCACATGTGGCTAAAGTAAAATGTATCCCAAAATATGATTAATCTGCAGTGGTATTCCATGTTGAGCTGTACCCTCAGAATCACTAAATAAATGTAATAGACCAATGACACAGGCCGCTTGAGAGGAGTTTCTTTCAGATCAAAATAAAGAGAAACAGTGTGAGGTTAATTTGGCCTGATAAAACTGTACACTGAGAGTGTATTTTCTCTGTTGGTTCTTCCTTCTTTTTTTTCCTTTCTATTGAGTTTTTTGTATAACATAGAACATACAACAGATATGTCAATATACCCCACCGACCTTTCCAAATCTACTTTACAGTTAGCCAGTTGAGAAAATCATACTGATGAAAGTTCTTCCTTCTTGACAGCCACTGTGCTCCTTCTTCCACCTGCCCCCCCCCCCCCCCCCAAACCCATCCCTCCCGGCTGTCTTGTGGGATGTGATGATGCTCTGACAGGCTTGTCGTCTGTTCTTGAAGGTACTGGTATTTTTGTGCCACAACAGCGGGGGCTGGAACAGGAATAGTGCTAAAGTTGTAGCGTAAAGAGTGGGGGTGGCATCTGGGGAGGGCTGGGATGGTTTGAGATGTGAGAGTTTAAGCCATTGTATAGACAGGAGGGAGACCAGGGAGGATTGCGTAAGTTGCCTTGCTGGCTGTAAATTTAGCCTGGGCTCGCTCACGCATAAATTTGATGAGCAGTACTATCTCAGTCGTCAGAGCTGCGGTATTTTAGGATGTGAGTGTGTGTTGGCAAGGAACATAGGGCGTATTTATTGTGCGTGTTTATTTACACGTTGGGAAGACTGAAGGCTGATCATTTGAGATGCAAAGAGCAGCATTAGCATCCACATTATGCATCTCTCCTCTGCACTCCTCTCTGTTCCTGATCCTGTTGCTGCTATTATCATCTAAATGGCAGATGGTCATAAACGGTACTGACCAGAGAAATATTACAGTCAAATAATATCCCAGGAACTTTACCCTGTTGTTCAAAGTTGAAACTATCTAAATATCTTTTCAGATGATTTGTATCCTTCCCATTCAGCGTTTGTGTGTTTTTTGTGTATGTACAGTATGTGTTTGGAATGTGCAAATGTTCCATTTTCCTAATTTAATATATAAGATGACATGAAATCTGTTGCAGAAATTACTCAAAAGACATTTTCTGTATTCCATCCAAAGAAACACCAAACGAAGAAAACTTCTGTTATGGTAATATATAATAATATAATGTGAATAATACACACTTTTGAACATGTGTTCACATGGATGAAAAAATAGTATCTTGCATGCCCCGTGTTTGCCTCAGTGATAACTTATATTCATACTTTTATCTACTTCTTGACAGTTTGTCTTGACATTGAGTTCCACATAGTTTCTAGCTGCTCCAACAGATTTGCATTTCACCTCATTTTTGTCTGATAAATCTGAATCTATAAAATCCCACATAGACTTTGACTGTCTGCTCCATCAGTTCCAGTATTCCAGGTATTTATGGATGTTTAATGGTTTTTAGTAGATAAACCAAAATTCTGCCAATTTATGGCATCTGTGGCACATATCTTACCTAGGAATAAGTTTAATACATTTGTGGTCACTGTAATGTTAATGTTAATGTAATTGGCAACTTGCCAAAAACAAAAACAAAAAACAATCTGAAACTTTCTGTTCATCTTTGACAAACACACTTTGTCATGGTCTTCAGAAATGCACATTTAGAATCCAAAGGAGCACTGTCTAATTGTAAGCCATAATTTGACTTGTGAGTTTTTGGCTTTTGTAGAAAACAGTGCAATATAACATACCGTGTGGAAGACGAGCTGCGCTATTTCTAACTATAAGTATGGTAATGAACACATCATTTTAATCTCACACTATTCAATACTAATTAAATACATGACTATGAATTATTTTGCTGCATAAATAGATCCCACTAAATTATGCAGTTAGTGTCTATTGATTGAGCTGAAGGGGGAAATGTTGTCAAATGAATCAAACATTAACATTATTTTAGGAAACTACAGACACTGTGTCCTCTAGGCTAAAGAGGAAGGAGAAGCATCACATTCACTATAAGCACTTTTTAAAAGCCATTATCTCTGAGGGTATGGGGGGGCAAAAATGTTCATTGTTTTAGTCTGAAAAAAACAGATATGGAAAGTCGGAAAGCAAAAGCAAAAACGTTGGTCAAACAGAAATTACACAAAATCAAGATTCTCCAAGTTTGACTATCTTCTGGATTGGCAAAAAACTATCATATTATTGTAACATTTACTAAAAATAATAAAGCATAGGTGTATTCTCATTTGTTTCACTTCCAACAGTTTGTCCCAATTTGTCCACAGTTTGTTCATAAATGAGAAAAGGCTATGTTAAAGCTAATGGTTAGCTTTTAGCTATTGCGGCTTCCTTCCCTCTAACCATTTAGTGCAATGAGCAGCCGATCTGAGAGAGCTTCTCCAGTGAAAGCCATGACTTCCATTTTGCAAGTGGAATGGGCCGAGGGGAAAAAAAGTCACCTGAGTCCTATAACGGCGACAGGTGCTTTCACCACAACCACATGAGGCACATATTCACTGATGCTCCACTTATGGCACAGCTGGCTTGGTGTGTGAATGTCTTTACATATGCGATCTCTTACAGAAAAAGCTCCATGCTGCTTAGGGTCTTGATCGTGTTCTTCTCCAGTCTGTGTTAGAATGTAGACCTGTCTGTGTCTATAAGTCAGCATGAACGCTGTGGTCAGATTAAATAGCCAGGTTGACATTTAACAGCAGCTTAACTCAACTGTGGCACAGTAATTGTACGATGATTTTGATGAATGGCGAATGAAGGCTTTATGTGAGTCTCGACTCTACAGCCTTACGCTGGATGTCAGCACTAATCTCAGTATTTAGCCTTTTAAACAGATAATTTTTTAACATCTAAGACAGGAATGCTGTCTAAGAACAGTAAGTTTTACAGTAAGCTTAGATGTAAATATAAACCTACTTTAAAGCAAACTCATTATATTGACGTTATCATTGTCGCCATGGCGTTATCATGACGATAATGCATTATCCAGTACTTCCTCATATATGTTACTGTGACATAAATTGTAAACAGCACGCCAGTCAAGAGATTAAAATGCTGAATATCTAGTACGGCATGCCGAGGAGAACAGGCAAATTTAAACGCCAAAGAGTTT